TTATTCCATGTCTGAGATTAGCCTGAACTACACAATGAGCCCCAAGTCTCTGTCTTAAATAAAATAAAGCAAAAACAAGCCAGAAACAGTGGTGTGCCTGTACTCTCAGCATTTGGGAGATGGAGGCCCAAGCATTATGAGAGTAGCAGTATTTGGATTTTTTTCTCACTTCTTTACTATAAACTCAGAGGGGTAGACTCACAGGATTGTTGCCACTCAGGGACGGGAAGGAGTCTGAGCTGTAGGGAGAAGTCCCTAGTTGGTGATCCTGGGGTAAGAGGAGGTTTGAGAATGTAGTCATAGACCCTGTGATCATGGAAACGTAGGGTTAAATCAGCGTGTGTCTACTAACTCCCTCTGGGTGACCCAGTTGACAAAAGAGACACCTTAATTCCCATTGGATTAGGCAAAGTGTTCTCCGTGATAATACTAGAAACTAGAATTCCGCACTGGGATTTCAAATTTCTATATTTGTGATTTCGGGGAGGGGGGGATATGGGTCTCAGTAGGGGAAAAGTCAGTGGAGAAAAGGTCATTGCTAGTCTGGTCAGATTACCTAACTGAACTATTCCTGTCTAGCCCATTTATCTCCCTGGCCTCCAGGCCAGGCACATTTGAGGACAGACAGGAAGGACTGGTATCAGCAGTGCCTTCTTTGGTCTCATCTGTGTTGTCGTTGCTGTATGGCCTGACGTGCAACTTGTGACCTTGACTTTTCTGCTGCAGGGGTCTTCTTCAATCTTACTATCTGAAGGAATTGCTGATCCCCAGCTACTCTGGCTGAAGAGGTTCTTGGAAGCAACTGGTGATATGCCTGATTTATCTTTAGCCTGCCTGGCCGAAAATAAGGCGGGGAGATCAAGGGGATCGAATGAGCTTGGCAAAGTAGGGACATGCCCCGACATTTGGAGGACCAAGGTTGGAGTGGCCATTTGGAGTCAGTCGTACTGCCTCAAAGACAAAATATCATAAAAATCAGGTCATGTTTGAACTCTGCCCTGCCTGGAGTCTTGCTTTTCTTAGCAGGTGACCTTGCTGGACGAAGCCAATAACACCACTTGTACCTTTGCAAGTGGATCTACATCAACTCTATTGGGTAGTAGGGTTCTCTGGAGACATCTAGTCCAACTTCATATGTCAGACAAGAAGAAACTGAGGCATGGAGTCTTGGCAGGACTTTCTGAAGGGTACAAGACTATGGAGTAGGGAAACTAAAGCAATGAGATGATGTTTGGCTTATCTGAGATGACAATTATTCCCCTTGACTAAGCTTTTGTTACTGCCCCCCCCTCAAGTCTTTTGAGACAGTGCCTCCTATCAAATTTTCCATGTAGCCAAGGGTTGTAGGCATATGTCACTGTGCTCGGTTTATGTCCTGTTGGGGATAGAACCAAGGACTTCGTGCATGCCAGGAAAGTGCTCTACCTACAAAGCTAAACCCCAGTTCCCCACACCCTGCTTTGTTCTTGACAGCCTACACTCTTCTCTTTTTTTTTTTGAGACAGGGTTTCTCTGTGTTGTTTTGGAGGCTGTCCTGGAACTTGCTCTGTAGACCAGGCTGGCCTCGAACTCACAGAGATCCGCCTGCCTCTGCCTCCCGAGTGCTGGGATTAAAGGCGTGCGCCACCAACGCCTGGCTCTTCTTTATTTTCAAAGGTCAAACAACCATACAAATGAGTTGCAGAAACCAGCTAGTTCTTCATCCCCAAACCATAGGTGCCTGCCTAATCACTCTATTTACCTGCCTCCTGGCTTTCTTGGTTCTCCATGCTCAACCAAAACTGCATGTTGTATCCAGCTCTCTGTTTGGGCCTCCCTCAAACTACTGGAGTCCCTGCACCCATTTGCTGATGTCACATGTCCTGCTCAAGTAGGAGAAGCCTGGGAGGGTAGGGGTGAGGCATGGGTCAGGCAGAGTAGGTTTCCTGCCAGAGAACCTACTGTGCAGTCCAGGCAGTGGGCACGGGGACAGTTTAGACAATAAAAACTGTCCCTAACGGGTATTATGTACACAGGTGACAAGCACTGCCTGGGTCTGATGTAAATGTTTGTAAGCAGGGCCTCAACTGTTAGGGTGCCTCTCCATGAAGAATGGCTTGGCCCTGGCTCCTGGACCTAGCCTCCAGCCTCTGTCTGTTTGCGAGTGCTTATAGGAAGTTGGGGAAAGGTCAGTGGAAAAAGTTTAACTCATGCTTGGAACAGCTTAGGAATCTGGAGAAGGTGCCGGGTCTCGTGTTATCGGCTTTGTCCAACAAGGTCATCTGCCAGCAAAGGCCGGCGTCCAGGCAGGCAGAGTCCAGGAATGGCCTGATCCTTATGACACTCTGTGTTTGAGGCAGTACAACTGATCCCAAGTGGTCACTCCAACCTTTGTCCTCTGTTCTCTCTATCATGGCGAAGGGACGTGAAGGAATGTGAGTGTGGAGAGCTGGCTGGAGATTTCATTTCCTGCCCTTCTCTTCCACCGCTGTCTGTCCCGTTGCTCTAAGAAGTCAGAGAGGACCGTGAGATGGCCCAAGGATGCCTGCCTGCAAGCCTGAGGACTTGAATTTGAGTCCCAGGTCCATATGGTGGAAGGAGAGTACTGACCCCTCAGGTAGTCCTCTGCTCTCCACACACGTGGTATTCCTGTCCACCCTCCCAATAAATGAGGTTTAATAAAAAGGGAGTTTCCAGGGGAGCACTCGGTGGGCTAGCAGGGGCAGTGCTTACCAACACAGCTCTGAATTTAAGTGATGAAGTTAGGAGAGTGTGTTCCCTCGTGTGTGTGTGTGTGTGTGTGTGTGTGTCTGTGTCTTTGTGTGTGTCTCTCAGTGTGTTTGTGTGTCTTTATCTGTGTCTCTGTGTGTTTGTGTGTCTCTCTGTGTCTGTGCTTGTGTGTATCTTTGTGTCTGTGTGTTTGTGTCTCTGTGTGTGTGTGCATGTGTGTGTCTGTGTATGTGTCTTTGTGTGTGTGTCTGAGTGTCTCTCTCAGTGTGTGTGTCTCTGTGTGTATGTCTGTGTGTATCTCTGTGTGTCTGTGCTCGTGTCTTTGTGTGTGTGTCTGTGTGTGTGTCTTTGTGTGTGTGCATGTGTGTGTCTGAGTGTCTCTCAGTGTGTTTGTGTGTCTGTGTGTATGTCTGTATCTCTGTGTGTGTCTGTGCTCGTGTGTCTTTGTGTGTTTGTCTCTGTGTGTGTGTGCATGTGTGTGTCTGTGTATGTGTCTTTGTGTGTGTGTCTGAGTGTCTCTGTGTGTGTGTCTCTGTGTGTGTGTTTGTGTTTCTGTGTGTGTGCACGTGTGTGTCTGTGTTTGTGTGTGTGTCTGAGTGTCTCTCAGTGTGTTTGTGTCTGTGTGTGTGTTTGTGTCTCTGTGTGTATCTCTGTGTGTGTCTGTGCTCGTGTGTGTCTTTGTGTGTGTTTCTCTCGGTGTGTGTGTGTGCAGGGAGCACCGGGGGCAGAAGGGGTCTTAGTTGGGAAAGACAAAAGAAAACCTGTCAGGATCTTTCTCTTGTTTTCTGCTGTCCCCTCCCTAGCTACAGTCACCAGCTGTATAACTGTGGGAAACCCCGGCAACAAGTGGCCTGGCTCCACCCTTCACTCGGGGAGCTAGAAAAGGAAACACATTAATCATCACAAATTGCTCAATAACTCTGGAATGTTCCTTTCTATTCCTGCTACCTTCTCGTTTCCTTGGCCGGGCTTCTCTCTAACACTTGCTCCCACATTTAAACGAGGCTTTTAAGGGTGCTTCCCCTCCATGGAGTCCAAGCCCACTTCTCCATGTACAGTGGGGTCAGAAACACCTGATTGCGGGTTTTGCGTCTGTAGCTCTCGGTGCTGTAGGAAATTCAGTCAATCTGCCTAAACGCAATGGAGCCATTTGTTGCCACTTCTCCCACATTGCATCTTACGACTTTTAAATACTCAATGGGGTCCCGTAGTAGCGCCCCAGATAGCTAACTAAGCAGGCCCCACTCCGTTTCTATACTGGACACGCAACTTACTCGTGGCTGTGGCATGTCAAGTGCATGCAACCAATCAGCTTGAGGAAGGCTTTCTCAGCAGCCAATCAGAGCGTAGGGAAGTGACCTCAGCCAAGGGATTGCTGTGTGGGCGAGGAAGCATCTCTTAGAGCTCTGTCCCTGAATCACTCCCTTCCTCCCCACCCTCTTTACTTCCTGTAGGATAACACCGCCTACCCCTCCCCAAAGTAGAGTGAGAAAGGCCAACTAAATTCCACAGAGGAGAGAACCAAAAGAGAAACTGCAAGCCACACACTGACTCTGGGTGTGGAGACGAGGGTACATACGTAGGGTAAATAAGCCTTACCAAGTGGGCTCCCCAGGTCCCAGAAGAGACCTGTGCAGCTGAAAAGTTTGCTCTCTCTGGCCCCTGGCTTTCTTGACTCCGCACAAAAATAGCTGCAATCATTTGTAAATAAGGACACAATCAAGGTCAAGTGCGAGAAAGAGAGGTTTGTGTCCTTGAGAGCATGCCTGAATATACTGCACATACAGGGGCACGTCCCAGTGCGGGACTTCCCGCCAAAGGCCGGGGTGGGCAGCTGGTCTGGGGAGACCCCGCGCTTTCCCCCACTGCTTCCAGGCAGCACTGCGGATGAATCCCTGGATGTGCCCCGCTTGTAGGGCTGAGAGGCAAAGAGCAAGGTCCCAGTGTCACACTGGACAAGCCGAGGGTTGACCTGGTGGCACACGCCTGGCATCCCAGCGCTCTGGAGGCTGAGGGTGTAAGGCCGGTTTGGGCTACAGAGTCAGTTCAAGGCCAACTAAGGCAACTTATCAAAATACTATCTCAAAGTAATATGTAATATATAATACACACACACACACACAAGAGCCGAGGATACGGCTCAGTGATCCCACACTGGTTTAGCATTTGTAAGGCTGTAATTTCAATCCTTGGGGCAGGGTGGAGGGTGGGGGGTGTGGGAAAGACCTGACTGGACATCCCCTTCAGCCTCTCCTCCACCCCCACCCTTTCCTGGTAGACAACACTCTGAGACAGATACAAACATTTTATTTAAAAATACAAAACAGGCCTTACTCCTCTTAACTGTTTCCACCCCAAGGACGTCCATAAGGGCTTATAAAAATCAAGCAGAGGTGTACACAGCTGTCTCCATGCTAGCAACCCAGCTGCACTTCAAGTCTTCTTTCATACTAAGATGCCAGCCTTTTCCCCGAATGGGGGAGGTGACACAGATTTGCCATTGCTGCTCGGCAGGTCCCCTGGACTCTGACTGATTTTCCCCCACAGGGGTAAGTGATAGGAAGTCTGCGGTGATGGTGCAGGAATCTCAAGACTTGGACGCTGGAGGCAGGAGGGTAAGAGTTCAGGAAACCTCAGTTACTTACTGAGTTCCAGGCCAGCCTGAGCTATGTGAGATCCTGTCTCAAAAACAATAATAACAAAAACAGGAAAAACCCTACATAATTTTAGATCCTATATCGAAAATCAAGGATGTAGGGGCCCAGATTTTCAGTATATAGCCTCGTCCATATTGTCATCACTGTCACCTCCAAAGTCCTCTCCATTGTCAAAATATGACATGATGTAATCAGTTTCCTGAAACGTAGAAAGAAGCAAAGATCAGCAATGGTTTCAGAGTTTTTCTTTCCCTTTTTTCCGGGTCTTTCTTCGAAGACATACCTTTCCCAGTCTGGACACCCAAGCAGCTGTTAAAAGTTTATTTTAGGTGTACAAGTGTTTGTCGGCACCTACGTCTGTGTGCTGCTTGCATGCCTGGGACCCTCAGATCCCCAAAAGAGGCATCATATGTTCTGGAACTGGAGTTACAGGTTGTGAACCACCACTTGGGCACTGGGAATGGAGCCTGAGTCTTCTGGAAAAGTAGCAAGTGCCCTTAACCATTGACCGATCACTCCAATCCCATGCCATGCATTTTAAATTACGTTTGTTTACTTGTTTGTGTGACTATGAGTGTACGGGTGTGTATGTATGTGTGTATGCCCTGATGTATGTGTGGAGGTCAGGAGACACTTGCAGAAATCAGTTCAGTCCATCACGTAGTGGGCTCCAGGGATTGAATTCAGGTCAAAAGGCTTGGCGGCACACACCTTCACCCTCTGAGCCCTCGCACCTACCACGTTACAGGATTCGAGAATGGGCCAGAAGCAGAGGAAACGGAGCCATTGGTGGCACTGTCACTCTAGGCCCTGGTCTCTGAGAACATCTCCTGTGTAAGAGTTGAGAGCCAGGTCCATGGGATGGCTCAGCACAAGAAAAGCTTTCTGCCAAGCTGGAGGACCAGAGCCCAATTCTTACAAGTTGTCTTCTGATCTCCACACATATGCCATCATACACACACACACACACACACACACACACACACACACACACACACTAAAGAACAAATTAAAAAAACCTCTTTTCTATGATAAACCTGGTGGTGTACTCCTGTAATCCCAACATTAAGAAGTAGACGAAGGAGGATTTCTGGGGAGTTCCAGGCCAATCTAGTTTATATAGTGAGGCCCTGCCTCAAAAACAAACAAACAAACAACAAAAAAATGTGCTCGCTTTGGCAGCACATACACTAAAATTGCAATAATTATAGCAAAAATTAGCATGGCCCTTGTTCAAGGATGACATGTAAATTGGTCCATATTTTTCCCACTTGAGCATTTAAAACAAACAAAAACAACAACAAAAAAATATTTAAAAGACAGAGAGAGGCCGTCTCCAAAAAGCCAAGAGAGAGAGAGAGAGGGAGAGAGAGAGAGGCAGAGAGGGAGAGGGAGAGAGAGAGGGGGAGAGGGAGAGAGAGGGAGAGAGGGAGAGGGAGAGAGAGAGAGAGGGGGAGAGAGGGAGAGAGAGAGGGAGAGAGAGGGAGAGGGAGAGGGAGAGAGAGTGCAGATGCCCTCACCTCTTCATGCTCTTCCTCGTCGTACTCCTCTTCTTCCCCCTCTTCCTTCTCTTCTTCTTCTTCCTTCTCCTCATCCTCCTCTGAGGTCACTTCCTCCTCCTTCTTCTCTAGAGTCTCAGGTGAGGGTGAATAGGAAGAGAAGCTCACACTGGGCTCTAAGGGACCTGGAGCCCAGCTGTCTACCACACCTCCTCCTCACCTCCAGCTTCTGTATTGTTTCCTCCTTGTCATCCGCGGTCTTAGGGGGCCTCTTGGGGAGTATAATGGTGGCCCCTGTTTGGAGGATCAAACAGCGAAGCCTTAGGGAGCACATCTCCTGACTAGCTTTCCTTCCAGTTTTTAAGTTTGGGGCGTGTGTGTGTGTGTGTGTGTGTGTGTGTGTGTGTGTGTGTGTGTGTGTGTAAGTTAGAGTAGGTTCTCTCTACCGTGTGTGTGTGTGTGTGTGTGTGTGTGTAAGTTAGAGTAGGTTCTCTCTACCGTGTGTGTGTGTGTGTGTGTGTGTGTGTGTGTGTAAGTTAGAGTAGGTTCTCTCTACCGTGTGTGTGTGTGTGTGTGTGTGTGTGTGTGTGTGTAAGTTAGAGTAGGTTCTCTCTACCGTGTGTGTGTGTGTGTGTGTGTGTGTAAGTTAGAGTAGGTTCTCTCTACCGTGTGTGTGTGTGTGTGTGTGTGTGTGTGTGTGTGTAAGTTAGAGTAGGTTCTCTCTACCGTGGGTCCTAGGAATTGGTGGCAGGTGTGTTTATCAGCTGAGCCATCTCTCCCTCCAGCCTAGCTCTCTATGCATTCCGGCAACAAACATGCTACTCTGCTGCCCCCATGTGGTTATTATAGCATCAGCAGGTGAACCCTCATCCTTTTCTAGGTTCACTTACGTTCCTTCTGTAGTTTCCGAACTCGAATCTTGAGCTCTCTGGGTAGACGCCTCCAATCTGGGAACAGTGAGAGTGTGAAGGTCAGCAGGACCTGGGGCCTCCCTGAGTGGGGACTGGCACTAAAGGGAAGGTGGGGGCTTTAAAGGACAGGAAGGAGGGGTTGGCTTCAAGTTATTCAGAAACAAGACTGTTGACTGGATGCCTCTGGGAGGTGGCACTGTTAGTAGGTTTCTGTTGAGAGCACATCTAAGACTCTTGTTTCTAGATGCTGTACAGGAAAGGGAGGGTTGTGGTTCATGGCACCCAAGCAACTCACGGCCCCTCTGGGGAAGGCCATTCAGTGAAGTCCCGTCACCTACCAGGGTTCCAGTCGATGGCATTGTCCATTGGCCCAGACATCTGGTACTTGTCTGAGTACCGTTCCACATCTGAGGGGCCAGAGGTCACGAGTCAGAGTTTTATCCACAGAATAAATTTGTTCCTAAGAGTCTACCCCTCTTAATTCTAGGGAATTACTGATTGCCTCACTCCAAACCCAGAGCCCAGTGGTGCCAACCTCAGTGAAGACCTTGTCCCCTCCACCCTGCCTTTTTGTTACTCTGCCCTTCTGCTCCTCTGAGAGGCAGGGTCTTCCCTGGACAGTATATGCCAGGATGAAAGCCAGGCTTCGCCGGGTGGTGGTGGCGCACGCCTTCAATCCCAGCACTCAGGAGGCAGAGGCAGGCGGATCTCTGTGAGTTCGAGGCCGGCCTGGTCTGACAGCCTCCAAAACAATACAGAGAAACCCTGTCTCATAAAACCAAAAAAAAAAAAAAAAAGCCAGGCTTCAGGCTTCAGTCTCCTCTCTTCCTCTTACTAATGGGGTAAGGTTGGTAAGTCTCCCATCTCTGCAAGCCCTCGGCTCTCAAGGCCTCCATATAAAAGCATTAATTGTCAATACTAAAATACTGTACTTCCTCACCATGGGTAAATATCTGCTATCCCAAGTCTGCCTGTAGCACTGCCCTCTCTAGTCTCCTGCTCTCACTGTGGAGGGGAAATGCTCGGCGGAGGTGGGGTGCTCAGAGACCTAGCTAGATCAGGGGCCCTCCAGTCAGCTACGAGGCGCTCAGGTGTGGTAGAGTTTGTTCTGCGCCCCACTTATACATACGAAGTAAGACGCTAACGCTTTAATGTCAACTCAAACCTTGAATAAGGTATACTTTTGGGACACAGACGGGAATTTTAATGCTCCCTCCATTAGACAGTAACCTTCCTGAGTCTCTCTGGTCCCGAGGATGCTGAGCACGGGCGCTGCGCACAGAAGGTTCTAAACACGATGCTCGCCTTTCCACTGACCTCTCTTGGGGACAGCTGGCCGGATGAAGTACGGCAGCTGCCTCATGGCCCCGCGCAGCTCCTGCTTCAGTGCCAGAACATACTCCCCTTCCTCTCCCGCGGGCAGAGGCACCGGGTGGAACTCTAAGGGCTGAGAGGCACAATGGTTAGTTTAGGACAAAAATGCAGTAAGAACCTTAAAGGGCCGTTCCCCTAAGCTGAAAGCCGGAGAAACCGGAGGGTAACGCAGCATCTTTTGAAAGCTGGGGAGTGGGGGGGTGAAGAGAAAAGATAAACACTTGTCTTCTGTGGGCCGGAACTCTGGAGGCAGGGGTCAAGATGAGGGTGGCTTAGGACGGGCCAGGAGGAGTCTGTGGCCACATGTAGTCAGTGAGGGGCACATGGGAGTCTTAGGGAAGGAGGGGACACTCACAGGAAAGAGTGGAGAAGGCTGTAGAGTGGGCGGGGGTAAAGCATCACCCTTCCCAATGCCCACAGCCTCCATGTTGAAGGTCAACTGGCCTCGGCCACGACCCCGGCCCCCACCCCGGCTGGCCATGGTGGAGGGGGCCTGGATACTCCGAGATCCAGTGAGAAAAACCTAATAAAGACAAAAACAAAGAGATAAAGATGTAAAGGAACTACATGACACCCGGTATCCTACGGCTGGAGACATTTTTCTCAGTGCTAGGGTTCAAACCCAGGGTCTTTCTCATGCTAAGTAAGTACTCTACCTCTGAGCTATATTCCAAATTGTTTCTCTGTGACACTTAAAAAAGCCATTGGTGCTGGGCAGTGGGGCATGCCTTTAATCTCAGCACTTGGGAGGCAAAGGCAAGCAGATTTCTGAGTTTTAGGCCAGCGTGGTCCATAGAGCAAGTTCCAGAACTGCCAGAGCTATGCAGAAAAACCCTGTCTTTAAAAAAAAAAGCAAAATAATAAATAAAATATATAATTAATTAAGTAAAAATAAAATATGAGGTTAGGAATGATGCAACAAAAGTGTAATCCCAGCACCACACTTGGAAGGCTGAGGCAGGAGGATTGCAAGCTTGAGGCTAGCCTGGTCTACATAGAGTTTGAGGCTACTCAGAGCTCAATAGCAAGATCTTATCTCAAAAACAAACAAGCAGGGATCTGGAGAGATTGTTCGGTGCTTAAGAGTATGCACTGCTTTTGCAGAGGCATGGAGTTTAGTTACTAGTACTTGTGTCTGGTTGCCCACAGCCATTTGTAAACCCAGCTACAGGGAATCTAACACCCTTGTCTGGCTTCCATGGATGCCTGCTCTCCCTCTCTCTCTCTCTCTCTCTCTCTCTCTCTCTCTCTCTCTCTCTCTCTCTCTCTCTCTCACACACACACACACACACACACCACAAAATTTTAAAATATTAAAATCTTTAAATGCATGTGCATTAGTGTTTTGCTTGCATGGATATCTATGTGAGGGAGTCAGGTGCTCTGGCACTGGGGTTACAGACAATCACGACTTGCCACGTGGGTGCTGGGAATTGTGCCCAGGTCCTCTGGAAGAACAGCCAGTGCTCTTAACTGCTATCTCTCGAGCACCCTGTAAAGTTTTAAGAATATTTTTAACCAGGCGGTGGTGGCACATGCCTTTAATCCCAGCAGGACTGGCTTGGTGGCTAAAAGTATGTGCTGCTCCTGCAGAGGACCAGGGTTTGGTTCCAATTCCCAAGCCTTTTACAGCCTCCATAGACGTTTCATATACACGGTACTCCTACAGGCAAGCAGGCACACACAGATAAGTAAAAATAAGTAATATTTAAAAGACTTTAAGGCACTAAAAATAATAAATTTTGGCTACAGAGTTGTCTCAGCGGTCAAGAGTGGGCACTGCTCTCCCAGATGACTTGAATTTGATTCTCAGCACTCACAAAGGGTGGCTTATAACCACCTGTATCTCTAGCTCCCGGGGATCCAATGCCTTTGGCCTTCATGGCACCTCAATTCATGTGCACACACAGACACAGACCCATCATAATAAAATAAATCTTTTTTTTGAGATTTTTATTTTATGTATATAATTGTTTTGCAGACATGTGTACATGTGTGTAGTGCCCACAAAGGCCAAACGAGGGCACTGTTTTGCCCAAGACTGAAGTTACAGATGGTTGGAGCCAGATGAGGTGCTGGGACTTGAACAGAGCTCTAAATTACAGAGCGGTCTCTTTGGCCCCAAGTAAAACAAATCAACATTAGGTTATAATCCCAAAGTATGAAGTAAATGTCCATGAGTACATAGCAATAAAATGACTGGGAAAAGACAAATGTCCCATGCAGAATTCTAAACAAATTATGCAGACAGTCCAAGCTAAAACATAAGCTAAAGCATGCAGATATCCCTCCCTAACGGGACAGGAGCATAATTCCTGCTTCTTAAGTATCAGTTTTATAGGAAATTTTGTCCCACATGCTTTTGGCAAATTGGAGGGTATGGAGTAACTTTCTAACGGACATCATGCCAGTCAGGGAACCAAAACCCATGTCAACAGCGGTAGCTCACGTGGGCAATATGTCTTCTTAACACGATATAAAGACACTGCTTCTTTTCTCGTTCTGTGGATGTGGGATCTCCTGTAACCCAGGCTGGCCTGAAACTCACTATGCAGCCGACAGTAGCAGTGACCTGTGACCTTCAGACCTGCCCACCTCCACTCTGGAGTGCTGGGACTGCAAGCCATGCACCGCCTTCCCTTCTCTCTCCTCTCCTGTCCTGGAACGCTCTGCCTCAGTTTCCCAAGTGCTAAGCCTCCATGCAGGTGCTAGACTTGAAATGGTTATTTTACCTCTGTGTCATCATTCCAGAAGAGGGCTAGCCTACAGCATGTCTGGCCAGTTCTCTTCAAAACTGTCAAGATTATAAAAAAAGAAACTGAGACACTGTCACAGCTCACAGGAGTCCAAGGAGATAGGACAAAATGTAGCAGGGAATTCTGGATGGGATTGTAACACATGAAAAGACCATTATATAAAAACTAAAGCCGGGCGGTGGTGGCGCACGCCTTTAATCCCAGCACTCCGGAGGCAGAGGCAGGCGGATCTCTGTGAGTTCGAGGCCGGGCTGGACCCACAGCCTCCAAAGCAATACAGAGAAACCCTGTCTCGAAAACAAAACCAAAAACAAAACAAAACAAAACAAAAAAACAAAAAAAACTAAACTAAAGAAATATGGATGGAATATGAACCTTGAAAAATAACAATATGCCAGGCAGTGGTGGTGCACACCTTTAATCCCAGCACTTGGGGGGCAGAGGCAGGCGGATCTCTGTGAGTTAGAGGTCAGCCTGGTCCTCAGATCAAGTTCCAGGATAGCCAGGGCTACACAGAGAAACCCTGTCTGGAAAAACCGAAAAGGAAAAAAAAGAAAGGAAGGAAGAAAGGAAAAAATAATGTACCAATAGTGGTTCACTAACTGTAACAGATTCATTATAGTAACATACATTAATAATAGGGAAACTGTGTACCGGGGATGTATGGGAACTCTGGGGGTTATCTGCCCAGCTTTTCTGTAAATCTATTTTTGTTTTATTTTATCTTGCAGGACTGGAAGCTGAATCCAGGTTTTTCCACATTCTAAGAGAGTACTCAGTTACTGAACTACAACCCTGTAACATTTACACCCTGTAAACATTGTTTTCATTCAGGTGATGGACTTTCATGATTGTTCCTCTTTTTTCCTTTCTGTGTATTCATTTCCCCTATAATGTATGAATACTTCTTTTTATAATAAGAGAAAATTATTAGGTAGGCTCTGTGGCTTGAGCTTGTAATTCCGGCACTTGGTGGGGGTTGGGGCTGAGGAAAGAGGATGGCCAAGGAGTCTGGGGTTAGCCTGGGCTACACAGGTATTTCCAAACTCAGGAGCCTCCTTGCCTTTACCTCCCAAGTTCTGAGATTACAGTTATGAGCCAACATGACTAGCCAATAAATAAAATCACTGATTTAAGATTTTAACCACAGGTCCAAGGAGAAGTCTCAGTGGGTAAAGGCCCTTGGCATACAAGCTGACCACCTGCGTTTGAGCCACAGAACCGACGGGAGGCAGGAAAACTAACAGGAGTTTATAGGCTGGCTGGCCTGAGGTTCACTACTCAGTGGTTAGAGACCCTTGCCTCAGCAAGGTGGAGATCAGGGACAGACCAGGTCAGAGAACTTTGGGGACTCTCTCCCCCCACCCCCCCCTCACACACACACATACTAAAGTAATAGTTTAAAAATTGAACTAAATGTAAATATATTATGTTTTATATACAGGATCCTATACAAGAATAATCTATAGCAGGAAAAAGATGGAGGTCTGAGGAGTTAGGAGCGTCTAACTACCATGAAAAAAAAATGGAATGAAAAAATTGCTGTTGAGACTGGATGTTTGACAGTGACTTAGCAGAGTAGCTTGTCATTAGTCTTTAGCTCCTTTCAAGGAAGAGGACTACGCAGCCGGCTGAGGTCTCCTTCCCTTTGACAGATACGTTCCGGCTGTGGAGGAGAAAGTGGTTCTGTGGGGAGCTAAGGAAAGGCCATGAACTTGGAGGATAGACAGTGCTAACCCCATTTCCACACACTCATGCATGAAACAAGTGATCACCAAAGGGCAAAGACCACAAATGCCCCTTAATGCAGGCATCGAGCTGCGGCTCAGAAACTGGACAGCACGGGTCTTGTCCTTTCAGCTTGGGAGTCTGTAACAAATCCATTTACGATTGTAACAAATGGTACTGTAAACGCACTCAAAAGCTTCCAGCTATGGAGATCAAAGGTCCACATGGGAAGCTACTGCTGTTGCTCTGCTACACATCTTCTCAGTAACTGTTTCCAATCATGGATTAGTGCTGTTGTCAGCTTTGGCAGAGAAGCTTCTGTTTGTTACAGTCAGCGGTGACACTAGAGACTGGTCAAAGTACAGAGAATACAGGACTGCCTGTTGTCAAGCCATAAGACACCAGTGTCGCCCCCTCTAAGGTTTCAAGGACTTCACAGAGGGGAAAGGTTGGTGTGCGTGGCACACTGGTTTCTGGACATGGCATGGCTGCCGCCCGAGCCTTTGTGGTTAACTACACAAGACTGGGTCTGTTCACATCCTGTCACTGAAGGAGGGGATCGTGGGGACTACCCCTTCCGAAGAACTTATAAGATCTTAGCAACTGATGGGAGAGGGAGAGGCATTTTTTTAGTGGTGTAGCCACTGATAAGGTTCTCAAGCTGCTATAAGGAAACCCTCCCTGAGCCCGGCCTGTGGCGCACACCTTTAATCCTGGCGCTCGAGAGGCAGAGGCAGGTAGATCTTTGTGAGCTTAGGCCAGCCTGGTCTACAAAGGGATCTCACATAGTGAGACCTTGTCTCAGAAAAAAAAAAGAAGAAAACAAAAAAGAAATAATTTCCTATGCTCCGTAAACAACGCTACTGAAACTGATTGCATCACACACTGAAAAGACGCAGGAGAACAAGGGGCTCTAACTGGGAAGAAGGGGGTCAGCAGGAATGGGACAGGGAGGAGAAAGGGTAACTGTGTGTGTGTGTGGGGAGAGACAGACAAACAGAGAAACAGACAGACAGACAGAAAGGATATGATTGCAATTCACTGTACATCGATGAAGTACATGTATGAAAATGTCATAAGGGAACCCATGTTAGGTAACACGCACTAATAAAAGCATTAGGAAGAGACTCTTGTGGACGTTTCAAGTCTCCTATCGTGTGGCCCAGAGCCGCTCTATTACATCAGCCCTCCCTAGTGCTCATCAGCGCACTGCTGTCCCCACACACCAGGTCACGCACCCGGGCCCGGCTTACACAGCTCTGTGCTGCAGTGAAAGCTCATTTCAACAACGCACACAAAGCCCACCAACAAGCACATGATGTTCAAGCACGGCAGAGCTGGGTGTGGGAGCCAAGCCTGTGATCCTAGCCCTTGAGATGTAAAGACAGGATGCTCCGGAGTTCAAGACCATCCCAGGCTACGGAGTAAGTGCCAGGCCCTCCTGGGCAACACAAGTCCCTGTCTCAAAACACCAAAACCAACCAACCAACCACACTAACAAAAGTTCAGTTTTGTCATTTTTCTAGCGACATAAACCTTGGTTCTTTGTCTGTAAAATGAGAATAATGGTAATAATAAACCCACCATCCTAATTACTTTTAAATTGCTTTGAAGACACACTGTGACCAAGCAACTTGTAGAAGAGACTTTATTGGGGGCCTACAGTTTCAGAGGGTGAGTCCATGACCACCATGGCAGGGATGGCAGCAGGCAGGCAGGATGGCACAGGAGTGGTAGCTGAGAGCTCACATCTCATCCATAAGCATGAGGCAAAGAGAGAGAGAGAGAGAGAGAGAGAGAGAGAGAGAGAGAGAGAGAGAGAGAGAGAGAGAGAGAGAGAGAGAGAGAGAGAGAGAGAGAGAAAGCCAACTAGGAACAATGAGGGCTTTTGAAACTTGAAAGCCCACCCCCCAGTGACACACCTCCTCCAACAAGGCCACACCTTCTAATCCTTCCTAAACAGTGCCACCAACTCGGGACCAAGAATCCAAATATATGAGCCTCTATGTGCCCTGAAGTTGCTGAATGCTGATGATAAAGCAGAGGGAAAAGTAGGCAAAGTAAACAAAAACTAAACTCGTGTGCACCCCTGGAGCTTCCTACACAGAGTATATACTGGGGGGGGGGGAGTCATCAGCTTACAAATAAGAGTTTAAGCCACAGAGTAGGCGAGGTCCTGAAAGGAGATGGTGCAGTGAGCAGTCCTGGGGCACTCTAATTCTGTATTTGTAGTAAACAAGGTAAGAAGTAATTCTATGTTAGAATTCTTGGAGATCTAAATGGAAAAAACTTCATTCTCCACAAAAGAAATGATAGCTGGGGATGCGTCTCCGTGATCTATCCCTTCCTCAGGTGTAGGGCCCCAGGATCAAACCCTGGAACTAGAGGGGGAAAACAGCAAGTAGGATGGGCCTGTTGTACACGTCTGTAATTGCAGCATTAGACAAGCTGAGACAGGGGGATTGTAAACTCTAGGCAAGCCTAGGCTCCACAGTAAGATGTTGTCTCAAAAAAACCCAAACTAGACAAATAGAAAACAAAATACACAAAGGCTGAACATAGTATCAAGTACCTTTAATCCCAGCACTTGAGGCAGAGGCAGATGGATCTCTGTGAGTTCAAAGCCAGCCTGTTATACAAAAGAGTTCCACACCAACCAAGGCTACATAGTGAGACCCTGCCTGCCTCAAAACAAATAACAACAACAAAAAACGGACAAAGTATATGAACAGAAAATTGACAAAAGAATGGCCAATAAAACCACATTAAGATATCTATCTATCTATCTATCTATCTATCTATCTATCTATCTATCTGAGACAGGCTCTCTTTACAAAGCACTGGTTGTTCTAGAACTATGTAGACCAGGCTGGCCTCACACCCACAGGGATCTGCCTACCTCTGCTTCCCAAATGTCTGGTCTCTTTCTTTCTTTCAAGACATATCTACCTATCTATCTACCTATTTATCTCCAAGATAGGGTTTTTCTGTGGCTTTCGATGCTGTCCTGGAACTCGCTCTTGTAGACCAGGCTCACAGAGATCTGCCTGCCCCGGTCTCCAGTGTGCTGGGATTAAAGGTGTGTGCCACCACTGCCCAGTATTTTTAATTATGGGTATTGTGGATTTGTGGATTATGCGCATGTGAGTCCTGGTGCCCATAGAGGTCAGAGGGGTCAGATTCCCCTGTAGCTGTAGTTGCAGATAGGCACTGGGACATAAACTTAGGTCCTCTGTGGGGGCAGTATACTCTCCTAACCCTGAGCCTCTGCTTTAAAACATATGTTTGCATGTTTGTGTGTGCATAATGTACACATGCACATGTGTTTGTGTATGAAGGTGCATGTGGGCTGTGATGAGTGTAGAGGTCAGAAGACAACTTTGGGTGTGGTCTTCACCCTCTGCTTTGTTTCAGAGGCAAGGTCTTTCTTGTTGACCATAGCTGGCCCGAGAGCTTCTGTGGTATTTTCTGGTCTTCACCTCACATCTCATCATAAGAATGCTGGTATTACACCACAGGCCACCATATCTGTCCAGCTTTTATGTAAGGGATATGATCCTAATTTTACAGCTTGAGATGAAAGTATTTTTTTATGGATTGGGCCATCTCCCTAGTCCAAAAAAACCATTTTCTACCTAACAAAGGAACTAACAAAGATGTAAATGTAAATGTAAATGATAATAACCAGGCTGTGGTGAGATGCCCCTCAAATGGACCTTGGCTGCGCTGGTTAGTTTTTTGTCAAATTGGCACAAGCTAGGGCCATCTGGGAAGCAGGAATCTTAATTGATAAAATGATTCCATGAGATGGGGCTGTGGGCAAGCCTATGGGGTCGTTTTCTTCATTGATGATTGTGTGGGAGGGTCCAGGTCACTGTGGGTGGTGCCATCTCTGGGCAGGTGACCTTTTGTTGTAAAGAAAAGAAGCTGGGAAGCCTTGGAGAGCAGGTCAGTCAGCAGCATGCTCCTCGGCCTCTGCTTCAGTTCCCGCCTCCAGGTCCCTTACTCTGGGATGTGTAGGCCAAGTGAACGCTTTTCTCCCAGGTTGCTTATGGTCATAGTGTTTCATTGCAGCAATAGAACGCCAACTGAAACATGACCACACCTCAATGGAAAGACAAACAACCTCTCAAGGTTTTGAATGTTTTCTTCTCAATCTAGAAATCCTCCCGCTGAAATGTGGACTATTCCTTTACACTGTGTGAATGTGTGTCACTGTGACTGGGTTAATAAAGAAGCTGACTGGCCAATAGCTGGACAGGTAGAGGTTAGCTGAGACTTGCAGACAAAGAGAGAGCTCCAAGAAGGGGAGGAGTCTCGCAACCGCAAGGCGACTCAGAGTGAAGGAGATGAACTTGCTATACGGAGAAAAGGTACTGAGCCATGTGACAGAGGTAGATAAGAAATATAGGTTAATTTGCCGGGCAGTGGTGGCGCATGCCTTTAATCCCAGCACTCGGGAGGCAGAGGCAGGCTGATCTCTGTGAGTTCGAGACCAGCCTGGTCTACAAGTTCCAGGACAGCCTCCAAAGCCACAGAAAAACCCTGTCTCGAAAGTACCTCCCCCCCAAAAAAAGAAATACAGGTTAATTTAAAATGTAAGACTTGGCTAGTAACAAGTCCCAGCTATTGACTGAGCATTTATAATAATACATCTCTCTGTGTGGTTATTTGGGAACTGGCTGGTGGGACAGAAAAGTACATCTGCATAAAATCCATCCTAAATAATCACATATTCTGCAATAAAAATATCCACATGTTTGTTAAAGAGCTATTTATGGCAGCAAAAGTTCTGAAATAAACTAGGTATGGTGATGAACCCCTATAATCCTTGCACACAGGAGGCTAAGGCAGGAAGTGGTCAGCCTGAGGCATATAGCATTCCAAGCCAGCCTGGGCTATATAGTGAGACCTTGTTTCAAACAACTAATTGTGAAATGATATAAGTGGTCTAATAACATATGGTTTAAAAAACAAACCACTTTAGAGCATTATCTGTTATCATAAATGTCATGACCAAGTTAAATAGAGGCAGAAGGACGTCCATAATATGGAATGTGAGTGGTGAGGGGGGAATATGACAAAAAGTCACGTTTATTTGTTATTTTATTTTTGTGTTTTAATTCTTGGTATAAAGTTGAATTTATTGTGTGGTCTTATTTACTTATAAAACACACCAATTTATGCATAAATACAGAATAAACTAAGAATATAAATCCAGATCCTAGTAACGGGCAGGCAAGATGGCTCAGCAGATAAAGGCACTTGCTGCATGACAATGCAGGTCTGAGGACCTGAGCTCCATCCCCGAGCCACGAGAAAGTGAAATGGAGATATGGCCTTACAAGGCTGTCCTCTGATTGTGACATGCATGCTGTGGCATGTGTGTATACATATAATAACAATAAAGTTTAAAATTGCAAAATACTAATCAGTAAACACTACGTTAGGATTATGGAATAATGCACACTGTCCTTATATTCCTATATTTGCAAGTTGTATGGAATAAATGTATATCCTAATGAACAAGTAAAAAGGATGTTTTGTTTTCAAGAATGCTAGGGAGGGCTAGAGAGACTGTTCAGTGGTTGAAAGCACGGACTGCTCTCCTAGGGGACCTGGGATTAGATTCCCAGCCCCCACACAGTGACTCACAATGGTCTGTAACCCTGGCCCCAGAGAATCCAGCACCCTGTTCCGCTCTCCGAGGGCTTCGGGCACACAAGCGGTGCAAAGACATACATCAGACAAAACGCTCACACACAAACAAAAAAGCAGAGGGTGGTGTTACACCCTTACCTAGCAACTCATGAGGTCAAAATCCAATCTTAAGTCTATATTTTTAAAAAAAGGTCAAAATCCAAAATAATTACAAATAAAATCCCACAACAAAAATACATAAAAACTTGCTTAGAACAAAGCCATGGGCCAATCCTGTCATTCAGAAGTTTGAGTTCATCTTTGGCTCTAAAGTGAGTCTGGGGCCCGTCTTTGGGGGAGCCTGAGCTCTATGAGACCCTGTCTTAAAAGGGGGGCTCATCAGTTAAGAGCATGGTGGCTCTTCCATAGGACCCTGACGGGTTCCCAGCACCCACATGGCGGCTCACAACTGTCTGTACTCCAGTCCCAGGGGATCTGATGCCTTCTTTTGGATTCTGCAGGCACTGCATATACAAACATGCAGGAGACATAAAAAAAGAAAGTGTGATGTTGGTGCAACGTTCCTGTTGCAACCTTCCAATGGAAATGTAGAGCATACTTCATTCCCCTGTCCTCCACGAGTGGGCCCCACCCACAATAAAGTTAAGTTGAACAAATATAAAGAAAAAATTAAATGGTGGGGTAACCTGAAAAGAACTAGTGAGTTCTTTTATTAAAGATGCTGGCACAGGGGTAGGGGTATAGCTCAGGGACAGAGTTATTGCTCAGTGTTTGTAAGGCTGGATTTACTCTTCACAGTTTTTTAAAATTTGGAGTGCAGTGGTGAAAGCCTGCTATCCCAACCTTTCAGGCAGTGGATCAGAAGTTCGAGGCCAGCCTGCTTGCATAGCAAGAACCTGTCTCAAAATATTTTTCCACATAACAATTTACTGGGTAGATTTCAGTAGAGGGTTCGCTGTGATCCTCATTGTCCAGCATTGTGTCCGGCATGTAGTCGGCTCTCAGTAAATAGTTGTTGCTTGAACAAATGGCCACATGAGTCTACAGACCTTCTACACTTGAGGCCTTGTGAGACATAAAGCCTGCCTTCCCGTTCTCTTTGCTGTTTTCCTTCTCTGGTCTGAGAGTAATTATAAAACATTAATGCAATAAACCACCAACTTAAAGGCCCTTAATTATATACCATGCTGTCTTCTATTCTTCCCTAATTATATTAGGAATTTAAATTTGTCCTCCTTGACAAGAGCACTGGTTCCCACAAATCAATTCCATTCAATTAACTTTTATTGAGCACAATGTATTAAGTACCACAGTCTGTCCCCCCAAAGCTTCCATCCAAAGAATAGAAACTTCAAAAGAGAACCTGCAATCCTAGCACACAGGAGTCTGCCAATAAAAACGATGGGAGGGATGGAGGGACAGTGCGGGCCTCACAAAACGGTGAATGCTCTTGCGGCCAAGTGGCCAGGAAAACTGACTCAAGTTGTCCTCTGATGTCCACGAGCAAGCCGTGGCGCACACGCCCACACACAAACACACAAAGAATGTGATTTTAAAAATTTAAGAGATTCCAATAGTGCTGAACAGGCAGGGTCAGGCCGGGGCTCAATTAATTCAAGAAAGGAGGTGGGTAGGGGAGAGCGTTTCAGCTGACCTGATGGCTAGCAGGAGTCGGTCAGGCTATTGCCGGGGGCTGATGTTAACAGATGCGCGAGAGGCTGGTACTGTAATAGTCTGAGCTACAAGAATGAGCCTTCCCCGCCTTCTGCTTTAATGTCTGTCCCCAGGCAAGCCCTGTCTGTGATGCACAGTCAATACAGCAATGGGAGCCCAGGGAGAAAGGGAAGGATCCAGAAGGGGGCTGATCCGACAGGCTGACGGGAAGCGTCGTCTATCCTGCTGTAGGCCACGGAGGACTAATTCGGGAAGTACCGGACCAAACCCGGTCAGAGTCACCAAGTCGAAGCCTTACCTGCCGTCCCTCCCCCACTCGGGGCCCACGCAGCGGCCGACTTGAAACGCGCTTTTCTTCCTCCAGCCCGCGTTCTAGACCCGCCTCCCCGGGCTCCCCATTGGCGGGTTTCCCGGCCAATCTTGGCGAGCGGAGGAGGGTGAGGCAAGGAGGAGGGAGAGGCGAGGAGGCGGAGGGAGCGGGCTAACCGGAACTGAGGCTCGGCCCGTGGGGCGCGCTGAGACCTGCGGCTGCAGACTCTGGATGGCAGGAGTCGGCCAAGGGGGCCTGCTCCCCAGAGCTCACGCAGGCACGTGGCTGAGCCCGCCGAGGAGAGCCGCTGCTGGGAAACGTCCTCCTGGCGGGAGAGACTAGACTGTTCCCAGCACCCGCCTGGAGGCTCCCAACCGCCAGACTCCAGCTTCCAGGGGCTCTGGCGCCCTCTTCCGGCCTTACGACGTGCGCGCCAGTCTCCCACCCCCACTCGCTCTGTCTTTGGGTGACTTTCCGACCCTCTCCTTAATCTTATGCAGTCTCCAGAACCACCAATAAATAATTAAAAAAAAAAAAAGACGGTCTGGTTACCCAGTCTAGGGTGGCCTTGAACTCATGCTCTTGCCTCTGCTATTACTATGTACTAACCAAACTCAGCCCAAAAATGCCCTCCCCAACACCCCGTGGATTGCAGCTGTGTCTCAGAAATGGGCTTGGGGATCAGAGAAGTCGTTGGGGGAGAGAAGGCAGGAACCCAGTGCCCTTCAAGCCCCTGGTTAAAGGTTGGGGAGGGTGGGTGTTGTGCTTTCACGCAGTAGAAAGAGGGAAATGCTTCAGGATGGAGAGAAAGCTATGGGCAGTCAACAAGAATATGCCAGATGTCAGAGGACTTGCTTCTCGTCATTACCGTTTATTACAAGAGACAATAGTTCCCACCTTATAGTTGTGAAGGTCGGAGATGATGTATGCGAAGCAAGCCCTCGACACACATCAATATCGAGTATAAGTGGGTGTTTTCCCTACAAACATTTCTCTTCCTTTTCCAGTAGCATTTTGTTTTATCTGTATACGGTGGCCTCCATCATTTGAATTCTCTAGGATCCTTGGTAAGCCTTCCAAACCCTTAGTACCCATTCAGTATCCCCGCTTCCCTTGCTACCTTCCAACTGGACACAAACTCATCCCTAAAATATGTAGATGGAAGCCTTGGTAACCATGGAGACAGGGCAGGTGGCACGGAGAGGCAGAGGCAGTGAGAGCAACAGATAGGAAGAGACGAGGAGTGATTCAGGCAGGGCCCTTCAAGCACGGGGAAATGGAGTAAAGAGGTATAATGAGAGCACCCTGTAACAGGCAGGGTTCAGTCACCGCTCTGCCCTTTCCTCTCTCCTGTGGACATCCCTTGAAATACGGAGGCGAAGGGAATCCGAGAGTGCCCCTTGCCTTAAAAATGCTCCGGGAGAGCCACCGACCGTCCTCATATTCCTAAGGGACTCGGGAACTGAGATCCAAGTGTCCTTGAGGTGTGGGATATCCTGCTGTCTGATTCCGGCTATACTCTGCCTGACAAACTACGGGAAGAGCTACATCTCCTGCCTCTCTCTGATCTGTGCGGACGCCACTGCAGATCCCAACCGCCTCCCTACACCGCTCTGCACAGTGTGCCATATGCCGTGTGTGGCAGTCAGGTCTGGCATACTGGAGATCATGTAGGTCTGCTGAAGCTCAAAGAAGAATCAGAATCGGGATGACGGTTCCTGAATGGGTCGCGAGAGAGTCCCCTAAGGAGCGCTTAGGTTTGCTGGGGCTGGGGGAGGTGGGTTAAGAAAGGGACGTCAAGATTGGAGGCACCAGATGATTTTTTTTTTTGCTTATGTGTGTGCGCATGGGGGTGGGGAGTGGCTTGGTGCCGGACGCCCCCACCCGCAGAGACTGGGCTATAAATAGCACAGCAGAGCTCCGCCCCCACCCCCCCTTCTCTCCTCCGGAGCCGGCGCTGTGCCCGGGGCGCACCGGGAGGAGGGACCAGGATCCAGCGCTGGGGCGCAGATACTGACACCAAGGGAATCCGGGTGCCCCCCCACGCCATGTGGGCCCCCAGGTACCCGGCTCCTCCACCCCGGAGGCCCCCATGGTCCCGGCCTCAGTCCTGGCCAGGCAAAGATTATGCGGACATTCAGGTATCTATTTGGGGGTACAGCCTGGGAGGGGGGAAGAACAAGGAGCAACGGGGAACAGAAGCAGGGGCAAAAGAATCCCTAATTCTTCCTCCACCCCTTTAGGTCCCAAATGCAAGCTGCTTCCTCCCCCCCACTCAATTTTTGGGGATGTGGCAATCTAAAAGAGGTTAGGAATAGAAATATGTGTATGACTGTACGGGTGCATGTGTGTGGGTGGCGTTCAGTATCCCAGAGAGGGGGATTCCAAGCGTGGATAAGAAAAGGGGGATGTTGGAAAGGTCTGATAAGCCGTGGGGTGCGGATGGGGGGTGCGAATGTCTCTGCGCGTGCATGTACGTATTTGCACGAGCCCTCATCCTTCAGTGCGGATGCTCCCTTCCCACCACCTCTGGCATGCGCTGGGGGGGGGTGCTCAAAGCCAAGAGTCTGTGCATTGGAGACGACCACCCCCCCCGCCATACACCAGGCACCTTCATCGGTGCCTCAGTTTCCCTGCTGAACCTGTCAATAAGCTCTCTTCCTCTTTTTCACAGGGATAGGCTTTACCACCAAGACCTCAGGCCTCTCCCAACCCCCACCCCCACACTCCTAGCCATCTTCGGCAGGTCCCATTCCCGGCTCCATCGGTGCTTTCGCCAGAGCCGCAGCTATGCTGCACACTGAGGGCCACGCTCTTCTTCGGGCGGTGGGTCAGGGTAAGCTACGCTTGGCCCGTTTGCTTCTGGAGGGAGGAGCCTACGTGAATGAGGGTGATGCCCAGGGGGAGACTGCGCTAATGGCGGCCTGCAGGGCCCGCTACGACGACCCTCAGAACAAGGCGCGCATGGTACGCTACCTCCTGGAGCAAGGTGCGGACCCCAACATCGCAGACCGTTTAGGACGCACGGCGCTCATGCACGCTTGCGCCGGGGGTGGGGGAGCCGCAGTGGCCTCTCTGCTCCTTGCCCACGGCGCAGACCCCTCAGTCCGAGATCACGCTGGCGCTTCGGCGCTTGTCCACGCCCTGGACCGTGGGGACCGCGAGACCCTTGCCACGCTGCTGGACGCCTGCAAGGCCAAGGGCACGGAGGTCATCATCATAACCACGGATACCTCGCCCTCGGGCACCAAGAAAACCAGGCAGTATCTCAATTCCCCACCGTCCCCGGGGGTAGAGGACCCTGCACCCGCTCCTCCTAGTCCGGGGGTCTGCACGTCGCCTTCGGAAGTCCAACTGCAGACTGCAGGAGGGGGACGGGGCTTGTTATCCCCTCGCGCCCAGGAAGAAGAGGAGAAAAGAGACATATTTGAATTCCCCCTTCCTAAGCCCCCTGATGACCCTTCCCCTTCCGAGCCTCTCCCCAAGCCTCCTCGACATCCTCCAAAACCACTCAAAAGGCTCAACTCGGAGCCCTGGGGCCTTGTGGCTCCTCCTCAACCGGTCCCCCCTGCTGAAGGGAGGCCGGGGATGGAGCGCCTGGCCGCTGAATTTAACGGCCTGACCCTGACGGGTAGACCGCGTCTTTCTCGGCGTCACAGCACTGAAGGCCCGGAGGACCCGCCTCCGTGGGCGGAGAAAGTGACTGGCGGGGGTCCTCTCTCGCGCAGAAACACAGCGCCCGAGGCTCAGGAGTCTGGTCTGCCTTCAGGGCTAAGGCAAAAACTGAGCCGCATGGAGCCGGTGGAGCTCGATATCCCTGGACATTTTTGCCCTGACTCTCCCGAGGCCAGCCGATTAGCCCTGGAGCGCCGGCGATACAGCGCCTCTCCGCTGACACTCCCTCCAGCGGGCTCAGTTTCTTCCCCACGCCAGTCCCAAGAAAGTCTGCCCGGTGCTGTCTCCCCGCTCAGCGGACGGAGGCGGAGTCCCGGGCTGCTAGAGCGCAGGGGCTCCGGGACCTTGCTCCTGGACCACATCTCGCAAACACGACCCGGTTTCTTGCCTCCTCTCAACGTCAGCCCCCACCCTCCCATCCCCGACATTCGCCCCCAAGCCGGAGGTCGGGCACCCTCACTGCCTGCCCCTCCTCACTCTGGGGCACCAGGGTCTCCCAGGACCAAGCGCAAGTTGGTGAGACGCCACTCCATGCAGACTGAGCAGATTCGCCTGCTAGGGGGTTTCCAGAGTCTGGGCGGGCCAGGGGAACCAGGGCGCTGAGAGAAGCCAGAGGCATCCAGGATGGGGAGGGTCAGGACCCTGATGGCGGGAGAACCAGCTGATACCTCGGACATGGGATCTCTTGCATGTGCTCACGGCACTGTGCACGCACACATGGGTAAGCATGTGTCCACAAGCACAGTACATTTACTAGCGAGGATGGATACATACTGTGTTTACTGGGCATATAGACCCACGCATTCGAGTCCTGGTCATTTCACACGCACACGGCATTACTTGGGTACCCAGAGGCACAGCACACCAACAAACAGAGGACCACTTGTGCTAGGGTCCCAGACTCACTGGCATTTGTTCAGAAGCAGCAGGGAGCCCCCGCTTACGGCTGCTCTCCTGTATCTTGCTCTCCTGAAAAAGCAATCCCTTGCTTTCTGTGTACGCCCTGAGAGGTGGCCTATCATACTTTCGCATACTCTACTTCCTCTCCGTGAATATCTCCTGCCATTCTGCAGGTCTTGCTTCTCCATGCCTGGCTCCTTGCTCACACCCGGCTTCCATCCGCTTTTCAGGATGTCTTCTTCACCTTGCTTAGGGTTCCTGCGGCAGCTCCCAGTCTGGGTTCTGTTGCTTGCCTCTCATGCTCTCAACTTCCTGCTTTTTATCCCCACCTTGCACCCCCCCGCACCCACACAACACACACCACTACAAATCATCTTGTTTACCCCAGGGGGTGGGTCATGGGCTCTAAGTTGCTCCTTTGTGTGTGTGAGCTTATGAACACCCCCTACAGGTAGAAGTGGGGAGTAAGCCCAAGTCAGCCCTCTTACCACTTGACATGTCAAATAAACGTGTTCAGAAGTCTCTGTCTTGTCACTGCTCCCTGAAGGTGTGGGGTCCGGGTAAAGAGGAAGGGGATGGGGAGGGATTGCTAACTTACAATTACAGCTACCCAGGGAGGGCATCTAGAGGTTATAGCCACTTTCTTTCCAGGAGACCAAATGACCGATTGTGGTTGTAGAAGAAAAGACAAGTTCAGGTTTTGAGACCTTCCTTCCAGACTTCCCATGCCTGGCCTTTAGTGATTTAAGAGTCTTCTTTTTTAGTTAAGTTACTTTAATTTTATGTACATTGGTGTTTTGCCTGCATGCATGTTTGCATGAGGGTATTGTATCTTCTGGAACAGGAGTTACAAGAAAAGTGTGAGCTGCCATGTGGTTGCTGGGAATTGAACCCCGGGTCTTCTGAAAGGCCAGCAGTGCTCTTAACCACTGACCTATCTCTCCAGCCCACCATTTAAGCATCTTACAGGGTGCCCCCTTCTCCTGTTTCTTAGCATTTCTATAGTTTTAGTTTTTTTAAACACAAAGTTTAATTTCATTTTACCAGGTTTGGCTCATCTGTTTTCTTTTCGCCTCCATGTTTAATCTCTGAGTCACCCTAGGAGAGAGGGTGGGGCTAGTAACTTCACCCAAGAAAAAATAAGGATTGATAGTCAATCAGCAAAAGGGTGTCATAGTGTGTGAGTGTGGATGTCTGTGTGGGGACGATGGTTGGGACGCAGCCTGAGGAGTTCTGTGAGCAAAGTTACCCTTTCCAGTCTAAGTCCTGGATTTCTCAGTTTGATAGGTTTCTGCATGTATCCTAGCTTTCTTTCTGTACGGTGATAAACACATTCTGCTTTATCTCCCTTAGAGAGTAGCAGAAGTCAGAAAGCCATCCCTAAAAGTAGCACGGTGTTGGATCAGAACACTTATGTCCAAGTCCCCCTTACCAATGAGCTATTTGATTTGGGACCGTGAGCCCAACCTTCCTGCACATAACTTTCCTTGTTCGTAAAATAATAAAATCTGGTTTGTGCTTGCGGTTATTAAAAGGACACTGCACTAAAGAATACCACATAGCATGTTCTCATTAAAGTCAGCATCATACTCCGTTTTAGCTTCCCCACCAATTGTTATGAATTGAGACACAAGTCATCTCTCTTCTCTGAACCGCGTCTTCATCTAGAAAGTGAAGTGACCAGACAAGGGATCTCTAAGAATCCTTTCCAGCTACAAGTCTGCCCAGCCTTGCTTCCAGGCCTATTTTTCCTTCAAGCTCCGCCCCAGGGGTCTGGCCGGATTTCTAGCGTTTGCCACAGGATTCCTAAAGATGCTCCGAAGCGCTCCCTCTTAGACAGTATCGCCTTTTCTCTTTGTAATTGGTTCCCGCAGCCTCCGCCTTCCTCAATCATTTGCCTAAGGTGGCTCAGGGGCCCGCCCCTTCCCTCCCTCTCCACCAGTGATTGGCATGGCATCTGGCTGGTCCCCGCCCGCTCTTGACTGACAGCTGAATCCCGGCACCGCCCTCAGTCCCTCGGCTCTGGCTCACTAGGGTAGCTGGGACCGTTAGCTCGCCAGGCTGGCTAACAGCGGGGCCCCGCTCTGCCGTCTGCCGGGATGGAGACGATGCGAGCACAGCGGCTGCAGCCCGGCGTAGGTGCCGGCGGGAGAGGCACTCTGCGAGCGCTGCGGCCGGGGGTGACCGGGGCCTCGACTAGCGCCGCCACACCCCCCCGCGGGCCCGCCGCCCGCCCCGCCGCCCCCCGCCCCGCCCCCGCCGCCGTTGCTCCTGGCTGGGGCCCCGGGGCTGCCCCTGCCCCCCGGCGCCTCGGGGAGCCCTGCCGTGCTGCGCGAGGCCGTGGAGGCGGTGGTGAGGAGCTTCGCCAAGCACACGCAGGGCTACGGCCGAGGTGAGTGTGGGGGGCCGGCCTCCTGCGGGACACGCTCGAGGCAGGAGGCTGGCTCCCACTGTCCTCCCGGTGGCTCCGCTTGGCATCCAGCCCTCGCATTCATTTCCTTTTGGGGAGTTTCCTTCTGGACACAGACACACACACACACACACACACACACACAGACACACAGATACACACACACACACACACACACACACACACACACACACACACACACAGTGAGTTATTCATGTATTCCCCAGGAGCTCCTTTTTTCAGATGCAGTCCTCTTTTCTTTTCAACTTTTTCTGTCAGCAGCAGACCTCCTGAAGGCTGAAGGTTGTAACGTCTGTCTTTTTCCCTTTGAGAACGGGACCCTATTGTGTGGAATCCTGCCCTTTATCTCGGTCCCAGGGCATGTCTCATATCCACCCTTCTCCTTTCCCCTTTGACTTCGGCAATTCCTGTACTCCGGCTCCTACGCCCTGACTTTGTAATTCTTCACTTACTTATCCACCCCACCCCAGTCCCTCCATGAAATTCCCACCGTGACTTCAGATCTGCTGGGGAGTGCTTTCAAAAGTCACTCACAATAATCTTTCTTTGAATCTGGACGCACACACTGGGGCGTGCCAGCTTCCTGTGACTTGGTGCTCACTTTAGTGTCTTTCAGTTTGGAGCCTCACAACTTGGGCCTCTGTCTGTCTGGCTCTGTGTTCCTGGCCCCTGCCCAGGAATTGAGGATAAATCTCAGGCCTTGGCTCTCTCAATGCTAAATTCTGTGGAAACGAGCCAGAAGCAACCCTATTTTGCTTAGAAATCTCCAGCTTAAAGATGCCTAGTTTCTGGGAAGAGGGATGTGAGGATTTTCTTTGTTGTTTTTGTTTAGGCAATGTTAACCAATTTCCTGTCAGAATTCTGGTTCCAAATTCAGTTTAAGTGACAAGGAGCACACAGTGAAGGGTGTGTGACTCAGACTTTAAGTCTGGAATTTCAAACACATCACTTCTGTTTGCTTGATCGGGTCCTCCTTGGTCTGAAAGCAACTGTATCCTTTCTCTTTTAACGGGAGAGAAGTTGCACAGCCTTCTCCTACCCTCCTCCAGCTCTCCCTGCTTCCCCCTCCTCCCCTTCCTCCCTTCCTTCTTGAGGAAGCTGTAGTGAAAACAGCATCAACAGGCTTTGGAGACCTGCCACTTACCAACTCTATCTTTGGGGGAAAGGATTCCTAACTTCACTGAGCATCAGTTTCTTCAAGGGTTGTGCTATGGATTAATTAAGACTCGGCTACTGACAACATAATGGGCACTTAAAATGATTGCTGGCTCCGATTTTCTGGTTGGCTCTTCCTTAAGAGCATGTTTCATTTTCTCCTACTCTTAAATATTTGTATTATAAAACCAAAGATTTCAATGGAAACAGATGTTCAGATCCACTTTGCTGCATGTCTGATGGTTCGTTTATTATTAATTTCCCTACACTCTTTAACCAGTTTGAGCTCCAACCATGGCTAGGACTCTGTAAGGCTCTGAGGATACTGCTGGATACATTTCTGAAACTTATGAGCCAATGTAGTTACTTCCCAGATGGTTTCCTAGGTTAAGGAGGTTATATGACAGAACTGCCATCAACTCTACCCTGCTGCTTTAGGTCTTTTACTTCAATTCCGAGGGAAACATTTTGCCTTGGAGTGGAGTAGCAGCCAGTAGTCATCCTAATTCTGAAGAGTTCCTTTTGGAAATGTCCGGACATTCCATCACCAGTATAGAGAAGTGTACCCTTTTTTCTTGCAGTGTTTCTCTGCCCTGAAGAGCCTGTGGCTTGACTTCTAAACTGGGTGTCTAGAAACCCTTTTTAGTGTCCTTATAAAGGATGAGGGAACAAAGGGACTGCACTGACAAAGAGCAGTGAGCTAGGTTTCATACTCTGTGGTGAGCCTCTCCTTAAGTCTCCCCACCTCCCAGAACAGTCTTATTATTCTTGAGTTTCTTGTTTCCAGTTGGGGTGTCCAGCTAGTGCTGTAGGAGAATTTGGCTCTGCTGATTTGGCTCAGAGTCCTTCACCACATGGAACCATTTACTCTGCTTCAATTAATAGGCAAAGCTCCCACTGGCATGCACCCATATGCCCTTGTGACTGATGGCATGATAGTCAGGGGACGGCTTGACTGCCCTGAATGTAGTTTACTTTGGTCTCTGTCCAAGTCACTCTTTCAACTAGCAATACCTCACACATCATCTTCCGTCCACATCCTTCATCTTCTTCCCGACGACTCTAAGCACTACTTGCTTCTTAGATTTATCTCCACCAGTATTGGATTCCAGCATACACACACACACACACACACACACACACACACACACACACACTCTTCCCTCTTCTGCTGTTTCCCTTATCTTTCCCAATCCCCATTCCCCTACCCATACCTGCTCAAAAGCTACACTATTGTGCTGGCTATTTTGATTTGGTTTTGGTTGTTTTGGTTTGGTTTTTGAGACAATGTCTTGGTAGATAGCCCAGGTTGGAATGGAACCCACTGTGTAGGTCAGGCTTTTGAATTCATGGTGATTCCCCTGCCTCAGCCTCCTAACTTCTGGGATTAAAAGCATGTGCTATCATGCTTAGCTTGCTGTTGGACCTCAAGTCACCTCACAGTATATAGAATTTGGATTGGGGATCTGGCCCTGTCACACAGTGGCTGTGATCTTGACAATATTGCTTACTCTCTTTATGCCTTGTCCGTTTCATTTATTCATTTAACAAATATCTACTGCTCACCATATGCAGTGGTGAATAAGGCACATATTTAGTCTCTTTCTTGATAGAGCTCAATCCACGTTAGAGCATGTGTGAGGATTAATGGTGCAATAAAACAAAACAGTACAATAGAAAGAGGGCTTGTCTTGAAGCCGAGTGAATTATTATTTCTTGACCCTGGTTCTGATACTTCTGGTCTGTTCCTTAAGTTGTATGCCTTTGGCAAAATGGGTATTATAGTACTTGTCTTAAACTTTCAGTGTATATTGGTGTTTTGCCTGCATGCATGTCTGCATTCTGTGTTCATGCCTAGTACCCACAAAGATCAGAAGAGGGTTACAGATAGTTCCCAGCCACCATGTGCATGCTGGGAATTGAACCTGGGTCCTCTGGAAGAGTGGCAAGTGCCTTAAATCAGTGAACCATCTCTCCGGCCCAAGAATAAATGAATTTTGTGTGTGACATTTTCTGCTTAGATACTCTTTGTCATCAGAATCACAGACAGATTATTTTCCTAAGAATGTCACTGGAGCTAAATTGGTATGTGTGTTTACAATTTTAGGAAATATTGGATCAGCACCCCTGTTAACTTCTTGTGGCTATCGTAACAAAGCATCACAAATCGTGCTGCTTAACACAACAGAAATGAAGTGGGCGTGGTGGTGCACATTCTGTAACTTCACTTGGGAAATGGAGACAGAAGGGACAATGGGAATTCATGGCCATCTCTGGCTACATGGAGTGTTTGAGGCCAACCTGGGTTATGTGAGTCCTTGTTTCAAAAAAGTGAAATAAAATAGTGTGTGTTTTACAGTTCTGCAGGCCAGATGTCAGCATCAGTATCACTGGGTCAAGCGGGTGTTAGCAGGATCCTGTCAGAAAGTCTAGTCTCCCTTGCCTTCTCCAGCTTCTGGTGGCAGCAATGTTCCTGAACCCTGATCGTGACCACATCACTGCCTGCTTCTATGCCTTCTCCTCTCCTGTGTTTTGTCAACTCTGAGCACCTCTTGACAATTTTGTTGTTTCTTTTTTGTTTTTTTGAGACTGGCTCTTACCTGTGTAGCTCTAGCTGGCCTGAAACTCATAATGCAGATCAGACTAGTCTCAAAGTCATAGTGATCTGCTCGCCTCTGCCTCCCCATGCCACCAGTATAATCCATGATTTCCCTGAGTCAGATCCCTTAAACACACCTGCAAAGTCTTTGTCCCATGAGGCAACATCCACAGGCTCCAGGTACTAGATAAGTGGGATGCACTGGTTAGCTTTACTATGTCCCTACCAAAGTCTCTGCTACTTCACAGTGCTGCCCTTCCAAAAGGTCTGTGCACCACAGCCTAGCCATGGTCAAAGGAAATCGTAGATCAAATACTGTTAAGCAGCTTCCCTATTTTCCATAATATTTTTGATGAGCCTCTGCCAGCTTATTCTTACAAACCTGTACGAACAGGGAACACTCCTTACCTTTCCATGTCATTACCTATTTGCTATCTTTTAATTCCTTCATCCTTGCCACCATACTGTCTTTATTCTTTTTTATTTGGGTTTTTGATTGTCTTGTTTTGGGAGGTAGGGTCTCACATAATCCTGGCTGACCTCAATCTTGCAATCCCTTGGCTCAGCCTCCTAAGGGCTAGATTTATAGATGTGTGCTTCTGCCCCGGCCCTGTAATTATTCTTTTATTACCACTGCTGCTGTTCCTATGTTACTCCTCTCATCCACCATGTGTTTGGGAATGAAACCCAGAGCTAGAGCTCTGTGCATGTTAGGCCAGCGCTCTACAACTGAACTGAACTACATCCTCAGTCCCTGATTTACGTCCGTTTTATGAGGTGGGCGTGTGTGTGTGTGTGTGTGTGTGTGTGTGTGTGTGTGTGTGTGTACACACGAGTACCTCCGTTCATGAGATCCCTTAGAGCTAAAGCTACAGGTGTTTACGAGACATCTGGTTTGTTCTGTGGGTGCTGGGATCTGAACTTCAGTCCTCAGCAAGTGCTCTTAACTACAGGGTTATCTTTCCAACCCCTCTTCTTAGTCTCATGATTTCACGTGTTATTTAGTTTCATGGTTTCCTCGTGGAGCTAAAGGAAAGATTGGAGCTGAGGCTTGTACCAAGGTTTCAAGGAGACTAAGCACACTCTTAACAACTGAGATACAATTCTAGCCCCAGCATGTTATTTTAGTCTCTATCCTTGTGGATATTATTTGTCACTAACATTTTATTTACTGTTTTATTGCCTACAGGTAAACCCCTAAGCACCCCCTTAGTGTTCTCACACCACAGTATAAGGATTTAAACACTCTTCACTGCCTTGGACGTTAGCTCAAGCTAGTGTCTGTCAGTAACTTCCACGAAGCATTGCATCTGTCAAATATGGGTTCTGCTTGGCACTTCTTCAAATGCCTCATAGAAACCATCATGCCCATGATTCCTCACTAAAAATCTGATTAAAAAACAAAAACAAACAAACCTACCATTCAGTGGGAGCACATGCTTGTAGTCCCAGTAGTCAGAGGCAGAAGCAGGTGGATTTCTTGAGTTTGAGACCAGCCTGGTCTACATAGCAAATACCAGGACGGCCAGGACTACACAGAGAAACCCTGTCTGGAAAAACAAAACAAAACAAAACAACCAACTAATAACAAAACAGAAAACTTATGGGCTACTTACTTATACATGTATAAGCTCACACAATACACACATAGAACTTTTTTGTAAGTTTCAGTGGACTTGTGAGCCCCTTTGAAGTTCAAACATGGATTGGATCTTGGGTTAGGTTTCCCAAGCTGGAAAGAACATCAGTTTTAGGATATACAGATTCATGCTGCTACTCTGTCAGGCTCTGAGTCCTGGAGTAAGTCATCTGCCCTTCCTTAAGCCTAGCTGAGATACTCAGGCTCCGGCTTCCCCCACTGACAGCATCACTCTTTGAGCATTTTCAAATGTAGAACACAATTGCTTTAAAACAAAACAAACAAAAAAGCCTCTTCCCTAGTCTCTCATTTCAGACTCAGTATTTATGGAGTTAGCTCCCATTTGACTTTGAATAATCATTAAAGAAAAAACAGCCCCCTGCTATAAGACAGTGATTAGTTTAACTAGATAGGGGCAGACACAAGCTTTTGGATAGGCCCTTCCCCACGGTGGCCTCTTCCTTTTCTTTCACTGTGTTCCCTGTCATTTGCATGTTAGGGGAGCTGTCACTTGTCTCAAAGAGGGAGCAGAGACCGAAAAGATCTCAATGGCAAACACAAAGCTACCAAAGCTCTCTGGGCAGGAGACTGAAGAGCCTCGCCAAGCCAGGGACGTTCCAGGGAGAGAGCCTCTCATTTTCACGCAGTCTTTTGATAGAGGAATGAACATTCTATGAAGTCAGTGACCTGTGGGATACAAGAAAAGGAGTCATGCTGCTTTCCAAGATGGCTGCTGGCAGTTGTGGGGGGTAGGGGGTGTCTTTGTTTTAGTTTGCCGAGTTTGCAGAGCAGGTAAGAGCTGATTTATTGGCTGTTTGGTTGTGATCATCTTGCTAGCCAAAGTTATGCGCTATTCTTTCCCTCCTTAAAGACAAGTTTTACTTAATGGAAATGTTTAGGTCAGATCCCTCTTCAGAAGCAGAACTGACTCCCAGCGTGGGCCCTGCCCCCTCCAGGTCCATCACCACAGGCTGTACACAGCTCCTGTCAATATCCCAGTCAATGACTGAGCAAGACAAGGATGTTAGTGCAGGCACCTGGTGTCAGGTACGGAATTCCTTTGACATAAAGATGCCTTGGCTTGGCCAAACCTTCCTTGGAGCTGCATTGCAGTCTGAGTATCTGAAATTAAGTGAGCCTCTTTCTTCCCTTCCCACGTCAGACCGGCATTGTGATCTGAAGGCCGTCCCTTCCTCTACTTCTCCAATGAACCTCTCTCATGGCTTTTTGTTTCTTTTGATTCTGCCAAGACAGGGTTTCTCGGTGTAACAGCCCTAGCTTTACAGGAACCCACGCTGTAGACCAGGCTGGCCTCAAACTGCCTGCTGATGCCTCCTGAGTGCTGGAATTAAAGGTTGTGCTACCACCCTGCCCAGTTATCTCTTGAATGTTTATCTCATCTTAGTATCCTCTTACCGGACCAAAACCAAGACAACTGGAAAAAATGGATGAGTTTTTGTGGTGTCAGGAATGGGAGAGTGGGTTAGGCTGTGAAGTGACAGAAGGCATGTTTGATGATTTATGAGGCTTCAGTTAAAGCCATTTGACGTGTTTGAAAGCCTGGAGACCAAGTGGTTCATTCCAAAGCTGAACTGACAGGATCCGCCTTTCTATAAGAAATCCATTGCTTTGAATCTTGCCCTAGCAAGGCCCTGCTCAGTCTGGTCACTGCCTCCTTTTGCAGCTGCACCCTGCATTCAGATGCCCTCACGTTCCTGTAGCCACAGTGGTCTCTTATTCTGCATGTTTGCTATGCTCCATTCTTGCTCACAGCCTTCATACCAGCTGTTCTGTGTACCAGAACCATCCTCTTACCTTCTGCTCATACTTCAGCCTAGCCATCACCCCCTCAAAGTGGCCTTTTTGATCTTAACACAAGATGACAGCTGGGTGTGGTGGTGCACATGGGAGACAGGACTGGTGAGTCTGTGAATTTGAGGTCAGCCAGGACTATACAGTGAGACTCTGTCTCAGAAAACAAAACCAACCAACCAACCAAAATCCCTCAAAAAAACGAGTCAGAAACACCCACTATCACCCTATAGTACTTGTCAGAGTTGCAGTTGTCTCAAACACTTGAGATTATCTGGCTAATGCCTTTCGCCTTCTTTACCACGCTGCCCAAAAGAGAAGGAGCCATTATCTCAGCCTAGGTAGCTCACCATCAGCCACAGGTCAGACACTCAGTAATATATTTGTGGAATTATGGAGCCCAAACATCAAGGAATGGAAGGGAATGCCCTAGAATACTGTGTCATGTCTGGAGTTTGATATTACCCTTCTTACAACTAATAACTTTGCCAGTTTCTAGCTAATGAATGCTAGAAGCACACATTTCTGAATCAGAGATAATGGATTTTGACTCCTAGCACAGCAAGAAGCATCAGCATCTTAGGTGCTTCAGTTTTCTTTCTTCCTACATCTGAACCAGAAGGCTGGGTGGGGGTCTCATCATGAGACCAGAACACAGCTCGGAGAACCTCCATTTTATAATAAGCACTAAGTAACCTTGTTCTTTTTATTTATTTATTTTGTTACCATCATCATCATTCATTTTGTGAGACAGGTCTCCCTCACTCAGTAGCCCAGGATTGCTTGGAACTTACTTTGTCTAATGTCTCCCTGGCTGGCCTCAATCTTGAGGCAGTCCTATTTCCTCAGTCTTGCGAGCCCCTGTGCTGGCAGCAAGCTTGCTCTTCCTTGTGGGAATCATTGCATCGCTCTTCCTGCAAACACAGCCCTGAGAAGTGGCCCACAGAAAAATTAGGCAGGGCTTTGCAGGGTTGCCACAAACCCAGCAAGGTGTGGAGGAGCGAAGAGACCCACAGGGAGTGTTGCCCAATAAAAGGTTCCTCAACAACAAACAAACGCGAAAAACCATTTATACCTAGACAAAGCCTCAGAAGAGCACCCATCCCCTCCGCTCCCTCTCATAATATACAGAGAACATTCTAGAATAGAAAGAAACTGATCATTGGTTTACTCATTTGAAGCATAAGTTTGAGTGTCTCATTTCCTTGAATGGCAGTTTTACCTAAAGTTTTAAGAACACCATAGGCTAGGTTGGCTATGCCTGTAATTCCAGAATTTAGGAGCCCAAAACAAAAATATCTCAAGCTCTGGGCTAGCTTGGGTTACACAGCAAGACTATTTCTCAAAAACAAAGAGGCTGGAGAGGTGGCTCAGCAGATGTGGGTCCCAGTACCCACATGGTGGCTCTCACCATCCGGAGTTCCAACTCCAGGGGATCTGATGCACGCTTCTCATACCTCACACATGTGCACAGGCATACATTTAGGCAAAAACACTCACAAACATAAAAGAAAATGAAGTTAAAATTCAAATGCTCTTAATGGCCAAACCATCTTTTCAGCCTCACAAAACATTTTTTTAAATTAAACATTGTAACAATACAATCCAAAAATACACTAATTTTATAATTACGTGCTAGGGACTTATGGGAAAATATTAAGTCTTTGTTTTCCACAATTAAACTGTTTGTTCCCATAAGATCTGAAACTCTGTGTGACAGACACATGTTGTGAAGTTCGTGCCATGCAAGGGTCTCCAATCTGAGTAGAAGTGTTTCAGCCATCTTTGTGGCAGGGTGAGGCACCAAGGCTGCAGTGCCCTCCCTGCAAGACTCTCCACCAGCAGCCTTGTCACAGACACCTTGGGTTCACTTCACATTTGATTTTGAATTAATTTTTGGTCACAGCACATAAGAAGCCTTTTACTCTTTTGTTTTCCACGGTCTCATTTATTTACCTGGCCCCATTTAAGGTCACATCCCCACTGTTTAAGGAACTGGGGCTGGAGAACTGGGGAGGAAGGACGCCCAACTTCGGTATGCCGGGTTACCAGTCTATATTTACTAATTTGTTTTTAAGTGGCCAGCAGAAGAGACCTGATGCAGGCATCCAAGCCCATCAGCTTTTGGAGCTGTCCTCATGCTGAGCCCAGTAGCTCTTGGAGCCCCCCTCCCCCCCCCCTCCCCTCCGTGCTGAGCTCTCTGCCTCTCCTCCTGCAGTGAATGTGGTGGAGGCCCTTCAGGAGTTCTGGCAGATGAAGCAGTCCCGGGGCGCCGACTTGAAGAATGGGGCTCTGGTGGTGTACGAGATGGTCCCTTCCAACAGCCCTCCCTACGTCTGCTACGTCACTCTGCCTGGGGGAAGTTGTTTTGGGAGTTTCCAGGTAAGTTATAAGGCAGCAGCAGTAAGGATAAGTGCGGAAGTGCCAATGAGGACTTTATTGCTTTGGCCATTAAGCTCTGCCTGAAGTCACAGATTTGAGTCACCAACTCCGGGAAAATCCTCCCGGCAAGCACCTGAGTCTCATGGGATCTCCGGGGAACCTCATCTGCACACTTCTTTCAGCCTGCAAGAACTCAAACCCATCTCAAATCCAAGCAGTTACGATTATGCCCTTTCTTAATGTGTTGGACTCCCGCACCTGACCTTTGTAGGCGATGCTGGAGCCTGAAGATGATGGGAGATCCCCTGGGGTTAGTGTTACAGGTGGGCGTTATCCTTGTGACGTGGGCTCTGAGAACTAACTCGAGTCTTCTGGAAGAGCAAGAAGTGCTCATAATTACCCAGCCATTTTTTTCCCCAGCCCCTCTTCCCCACCTCCCTGCCCCAAAGAAAGAGTTTCATGCAGCCCAGCCTGGCCTCAAACTATATAGCTATATAGGGATGGCCATGCTGAACGTTTGATCCTCCTGCATCCATGTCCCAAGTGCTGGGATTTTCAGCACAGCACTATCACTTGCTGTTTATGCAGTGTTTAGGGGCTGATCCCAGCGCCTCCTGCATACTAGGCAAACACTACAAATGAGCTCCATCCAGCTCTGTCCCCAGGTGACACTGTTCTGAAAGTTTTCCTATTGCTAACATTCTATATAGATATGAAAGACTGACAGTGGTGAAAAGAACAACTACTTCAGTAGGCTGGTGAGAAGTTACAGGGGCTGAAGAGATGCTTCAGCCATTAAGAGCACTTGCTGCTCCTTCAGAGGTCCAGGGTTCAGGACCCAGGACTCGCATCAGACAGTTTGAAGCCACCTGTAACTCCAGCTCCAGGGACCTGACACTCTCTTCTGGCCTCCACAGGCACTCACACCTATGACACACGCAAACAAGTAAAAGTAAAAACAAATTATAAAAACTTTAAAAGAAATTATTGTGGATTGATATGAATATAACCTTCAAGATTTGACCCCCCCCATTTCAGACAGGAAGGCAGTTGTCCAAAATGTCAACTTAAGAGTCTGGATAGGAATTTAAAGAAGATGATAGACCCCTGTGGTTAGTTTTCATGTGATTGTGCCATCTTTAGATAAGGCTGGAATTCTGCTGTTTCCATAGCACCTTAGGATTCCCTATCATATAACTTAACAAGGAATCATTACTGATTGTTTCTTCCAGGGTTCCAGGGTGTGTCTGTTTTTTTTTTTCTTCTGGCTCTGTGTATATGTATACTTGTGTGTATAAGATAGGATTGGACCCAGGGCCTTGCAAACTGTCTTCTTTCCTGTTCGGTATTAAACACCTGCCACCCACTCAGACCCCTAGCATAGAAAATTTATGAGTAAGAGCCTTTGCAGCTCTCAGTTCTTGCCTCAAACAGAAAGTCCCAAGGAAACCTTGCTTTATTTATTTATTTTGTTTGTTTTTCTGAGACAGGGTTTCTGTGTAGTGCTGGCTGTCCTGGAACTCCCTCTGTAGAACCCATGGAGATCTATCTGCCTGCCTCTGCTTTGGAGTACTGGGATTAGAGGCATGTATTACCACACCTGGCTTGGAAGCTTTGTTTTAAATCACCGTCTAAATTTTTTTGGTTCAGTATTTGAGCCATTTCAGATAAATAAATATAAGCCAAGGATGACTAATGTTTGCATTTAGCTTTCCATTTTCATGTGTGTGGTGTGCACATAGTGGGTGATATACATGTTTATGTGTACATGTGGCATCCTAGGTTGATGTGGGCAAACATGATCATTATCTTCCTCCTTACCCACTGAGGCAGTCTCCCAGTCAAACCCAGCTTACCGACATGGCTAGTCTCAGTAGCCAGCCTGCTCTAGGGATCCCGTCTCTGGTGTCCCAAGGCTGGAATTTCAGGCAGGCATTCTGTGGGTTCCAGAATCCAGGGTCTCAGTTCTGGCTTTCATACTTATGCAGCAAGGACTTTAACCACTGAGCCCTCTCAGCCCCCATGTTCCTTTACTAAAGGATATGGCTCCTCTTTCTCACCTCGTCACAATTTGAAGGGCAGCTAGAACTTTATGATGCTCATTAAGGAACCGGGTTTGTTTGTTTGTTCTTTGGTTTCTTATTTTCTGAAAGTGAAATTATCTGTTCTTGGCCTCTTTTAGCTTATGATTTTATATCCACCTTGGCAGGTGAAATTCTCTCAGGTGGTTTTCTTCACGGCTGACTTTTTCAGTAGTAGTATTATGGGGTAAAGTGGTAGAAATAGGGAAACTACAGAAACAGAAAGCGTTGATGTGATTGTATCAGGCTCCACATGCTGTCTCAGAGGGAACTGTCCACGAAAGGAAATTAGGAGTAATCAGCAGATAGTTCAGTGACAAACCTCGCCCGCTCTATTAAAAGCTGAAATATCAAGCCAATGCAGAAGCACCATGTCTTTAACCCCAGCACTTGGGAGACAGAGGGATCTCTGTGTATTCAAGGCCAGCCTGGTCTACATACTGAGTTCCAGAACAGTCAGGGCTACAGAGACCTTGTCTCAAAAAGCAAAAAACCACTCCACTCCTGTTAATCATGAATGGCAGAGGGTCCAGAGGCACTTGATAAGAAGACTAATTGTACCAGAGCAGCGTGATGGCAGGGATCTGACGTTGGGATGATCTAAGATTTCTGAAAATCAAATTTGCTCTTGATTTCCTCAGCCTGTCTTCCTTGCATCTGCCGTGGAGGGAAGAGTCATCTTCAGACTTAGAGCCCATTGAGGTAGCTCCTTTGCCCTGCCTGTTTACAGCTAAGAGTGAAGAGCAAGAATCCCAGACGGGTGCTCCTAAGGGCTCATGGCAGGGTCTTAATCTTGGGTTATCTAGAATCCAGACACCTGGCCTGAAAAGCTGGCCACGAGCTGGCTTTTGAGTAATTAGTTCTGTTGACAGTTTAGAGGCATTTTTCATGTCTTCAGGTTATATGCTGACTTCAGCAGCCTTCCTCACTCTGCATTCAATTTGGTATGAGTTAATCATCTCCAGTTCTTTAATTACTTCAGGATGTTGAGTCAAAGTTCTGTTTTCAAACACCCCAGCCATTTCACAGCAAAGTTCCGGAAATCGTGATGAACGAAGCTGATTCATCCATGGTATCCAAACGTCGTCGTCCTCAGTGGCTCCCTTCCTGCTGTTTCTTCTCTCCTTAGATCACATGTTGTTACTCTTTCTCCCTGCCTAGTTTTGCCCCACAAAAGCCGAGGCCCGGAGAAGTGCTGCAAAGATTGCGCTAATGAACTCCGTGTTTAATGAACATCCATCCCGAAGAATTACTGATGAGTTTATTGAGAAGAGTGTCTCAGAGGCCCTGGCATCTTTCAATGTAAATAACTTGGAGACGGGAGGAGGGAGAGTGGGGGGGGTGAGCCAGGGGAACCCATGCGTTTTTGTTTTTTTTCTGTCTGCATTTCTATTCTGTTTAATCTATCAAGGGGATCTGCTACTTTCTTCTGGCCTGTTGGCATTTATACATCACACACATACACACACACACACACACACACACACACACACACACACACACACACTCACACACTTTAAGAAGGGCTGGGGGGAAGGGTTAGCAGGTAAAGCATTTGCCTTACAAGCAGGAGGTCCTTAGTTTGATCCCCAAAGGCCATTTAGAATCCTAGTGTGGTGACTCACAAGTGTAATCCCAGAGCTGGGTATCCCTAGGGCTCTTTGCCAGCCAGTCTAGCATAATTGGTGAGCCTCAGGCCAGCAACACTTCTCAAAGGGGTGGTCAGTGTTTCTGAGGAGTAACAAACACTTGAAGCTATCCTCTGGCCTCCAGACAGAACACACACACGAAAATGTTACTAATTTCTTTTGGGTAATGCTGGTCAAAGTGATAATTCTGATTGAAAACCTACTTGTCTTTTTCATTCCTGTCACCAGGGTAACAGAGAGGAAGCCGACAACCCAAATACAGGAATTGGTGCTTTCCGATTCATGCTGGAATCTAATAAGGGCAAGTCAATGCTGGAGTTCCAGGTACTGTCCCACCTACCTCCCTGACAGACCACCTCCTCATCACTACCTCAGTACTCTGAAAAACAGATGGAGGGGGACATGGTTAGATTTTCTTCCCAAAGGGCACACCAGAATTGGTGATTGGCTATTAGATGCTTCCACAAATACATTTTGTAAGAAGTTTCCCATGTTATTCTGCTGCAGTCAAACTTAAAAGCACTGTCCTGGTTGTATTAGCCAGATTCCCTAGAGAACCAGAACAGGTAGAACTCACACTCTCTCTCTCACACACAAATTATTAGAGTGGCTTATAGGCTGTGGTCTGACTTTTCCAGCAAAGGCTGTCTCCAAGAATCCAGTAGTTGTTCAGGCCACGAGGCTGGATGTCTCAGCTGGTCTTCAGTATACATCGGATTCCCAAAGAAGTCGGCTGTAATGCCAGTGAGGGAATGGACTCCTGGGGAAAGCAAGCTTCCCTCTTCCTGTCCCTTGTATTGGCGGCTACAAGTGTGGCCCAGATTTAAGAGAGGGGTGTGTGGGCTCGTCTGCTGTCTTCCCACGTCAAATTATTATTATTATTTTTTTTTTTTTGGTTTTTCGAGACAGGGTTTCTCTGTGGCTTTGGAGGCTGTCCTGGAATTCGCTCTGTAGACCAGGCTGGCCTCGAACTCACAGAGATCCGCCTGCCTCTGCCTCCCGAGTGCTGGGATTAAAGGCGTGCGCCACCAACGCCCGGCCTACGTCAAATTATTTGATCAGCAAAAGTCCCGCACGGTGTACCCAACAGCTTGTGGGTTAGTTAATCCCAGGTGTGATCAAGTCAACAGCCAAAATCAGCCATCACACTGGTATTTCATCTTCTTCCCTCAGGAGCTCATGACAGTTTTTCAGCTGCTGCACTGGAATGGCAGCCTGAAGGCCATGAGGGAAAGGCAGTGTTCTCGACAGGTAAGAGCTGCGGGAAAGGGAGAAGAGCTGCTTTGGGCTGAGCTAGCTGGGTACCAGGCTGTAACTGCAGCCTCTTTGCTCTTGTATTCTTTTGTTTCTCTAGTTTTTAGTGTTTGTCTGTGTAGCCCTGGCTGTCCTGGAACTCACTCTGTAGACCAGGCTGGCCTTGAACTCAGATCCGCCTGCCCCAGCCTCCTAAAGGCACCCAATCTGCTCTTGTATGTTTTGCTGCCTGAATGTCATTGTGGTCCTTTCACCTTGCTTCCCCACTATAAAGTTTCCCTTAAAAAACTCTTGGGCTGAATTGGGCTTGGTAGCTCATAACTTTAATGCAAGGCACTTAGGAGGGAGAGGCAGGCGGATCTGAGTTCTAGCAAGTTCTATGCCAGCTAGTGCTACATCGTGAGACCCTGTCTCAAAACAAGACAAAATAACCCACCTTGTTGGCCTGTTTCCTAGTTGCCGTGACATGAACTAGTCTGCCTTGCCCTGGCTCTCTTCCAAGATGAGCTGACAACTCTGAAACTGTCACATTCTGGGTGTCCTTCTCACTAAGAACCAGAAAGGACCAAGTCTATCACATTAAATCATGAATCAGCCTTCAGTGTTCCATGGAGGCTTCTGTTCCTTCTAGAACAAAGAGCTGACTGGAACAGAGGAGATGAAATAATCATTGCATTTGTAACATAATTTTGCCAAGTTATGGGTGTTCCTACAGACCCTTGAATACGTGTTTATGGTGACTTGAGTGTGCTGAGGTTTTCACACATTTAGGAGATTTTGTTGTCTTTAAAAGATGACCACATTTTGGGGCTGGAGAGATGGCTCAGAGGTTAAGAGCACTGACTGCTCTTCTAGAGGTCCTGCGTTCAATTCCCAGCAACCACATGGTGGCTCACAACCATCCATAATGAGCTCTGGTGCCCTCTTCTGGCCTGCAGACATACATTGAGACAGGATGTTGTATTCATAATAAATAAATAAATCTTAAAAATAAAAGATGACCACATTTCCCACCTAAGTTGACACCTTTTGTATGCTGCTGGGTCCTGAAGGTGTTCCAGAGCTCAGAGACTTGCTGGTCTGAACTTCACTGTGCTCCCCATGGCATAGCCCCATGCCTCCCTGATCTGTGCATATATTCAACCCCTCCCCCCTCTAATCTACTTAAACTCTTATAAAACAGGGGAAAACAAAAACGAATCTTTGTAGGTCATATGCTAACTTCAGTTCAGACATCAAGGCTATGTAATGTGTATGGCATGTACCTGTCTATTGGGGTCCCTGTGCATATGGTACACATGACATGTCTTTAGCCATTGGGGTTCCTGGGCTGTATGGTATGTTTTTACCTTCTCAGTGATCATTGCATTCCTCTTTCTAACCAGGAGGTGTTGGCTCATTATTCGCACCGGGCTCTGGATGACGATATTCGCCACCAAATGGCTTTAGACTGGGTGAGCCGGGAGCAGAGTGTGCCAGGGGCACTGTCTAGAGAGCTGGCCTCCACTGAACGGGAGCTGGACGAAGCCCGGCTGGCGGGCAAGGAGCTGCGTTTCCACAAGGAGAAGAAAGACATCCTCATGCTGGCTGCTGGGCAGTTGGGCAATATGCATCCTTCCAGCTGCTGAGCACATGCCCTCTCCTGCCATGCTCTGCAGCCCTTTTTTGTATGTCTCCTTTCTAAGACGTAGGATGATTTCTGTATATACTTTCTCAATTTTATACTTTAAAATATAGACATATATGTATAAATTCTACACCTGAATTCCTATTTGCTGGGATCCCTTTTCTAACTTCCAGTTTGGGGATGTAGTTACCTTTGAAATATCACTGTTCCATTTTAGAGCTTTGTTGGCACTTAACCCTTCATTTCAGTAGTACAGTTCAATTTACCAAGTGTTCATGTCTTTTTTTCTTAAAATAGCAGTCACCCAGCCAGGCAGTGGTAGTGCACATCTTTAATGACAACACTTGGGAGGCAGAGGCAAGTGGATCTCTGTGACTTTGAAGCCAGCCTGCTCTACAGAGCTAGTTCCAGGACAGTCAAGGCTATACAGAGAAACCCAGTCTCAAAAAGCCAAAACTAAAAACTAAACAAAGCATTCGGATGGGATGACTCACAGCTGTAATCTCTGCTCTCAGAAGTCTGAGACAGTATTGCTGTGAACGTGAGGCCAGCCTGACCCACACAGTGAAATTACAGCTCAGCATGGTCTACAGGGTGTAAGACCATCTCAGATCCCTCTTTTCCTACATATAAAACAACAGTCAGTAATAAGGAGTATGGGCCCCACCCTCATCCATATCCTTGCTTTCTCTAGACTAAAACAGGGTATGGCCTCTGGCTTGAGGTGGACCTTCTCACACTCTTCTGCTTACTGTCCTCCTTCCTTGCCTCCACAGGCTCCTTTGTTTGGGGACTTCCCTACCTTATCCAGAAGGCACAGGAGATCTGGCGTCTTTTTGTTTTGTAGGACATCTTACTAAGTAGATATGGCTGGCCTGAAACTCATTCTGTAGACTAGGAGGACTTCATACTTGTGGCCATATTCTTGTGGAGATCATAGGCATAGGTCAGCAGGCCTGACCTGGTTTTTATTTTGAAGTCACTCCTGAGAAACTGCCCAAGAACAAGAGAATTCATATGGAGGGTGGGGGGTAGCACTACCGACACTGCCTCTGGGATTAACGATGCTCTTCCAGCCGTCTAGATTTCTGGATGCAAGATCGCCATTCCCTGCCATCATTTCTCTCTTGCTCACCATACTTAGTAAACACACACACACAGACACACAGACACACACACACAGACACACAGACACACACACACACACACACACACACACACTCTGCATTTCATTTCGTTTATGTAGCCCAGGCTGGCCTCAATTTCTCCCTGTGGGTGAGAATGACCTTGAGCCCCTGTGCCTTCCATGTGCTAGGACTACAATGGAGCATCATTCATCTGTCTGAACTCTTCCTTCAGTGACGGGAAGAAGCACTCTGTTCTTTAGAAACTGCATCTGTTCTGGTTAGTGAGAACCTGAGAGGAGTCTTAGGCCCACCGAGTTGTAAATGTATACACCTTAGCTTCTCATTTCCTGTGTCTTCCTTCTCTTCCTCCACATTGACTGTGAGAATGAGTTCATGAACCGTGGATGAGAATGTGGTTCTTCCTAAGCGGCACCTGAGAAGCCTGTACAGAGGGAAATGACCTGGAGGAAGGCAGAGCTCTACTTCCCCCTTGTTTCTGTGACGGCTGCTATACTTTCTCTCAATACACTGCTACTATAACTTGACTTCCCATTGGACAGTTGCAGTTCGCTTCTAGATTAGGAACTGGGCCTTGGTGGTGCAGGTCTGTAATCCCAGTTGCTCTGGAGGCTAAGGCAAGAAGATCAGAAAGTCAAGGTCCATCCTAACTAGAGTGAGTTTAGAGGCAACCTGGGTAACTTAGCCAGACTGTCTCAAAAATATAAAATAAAAACAGGGCTGGGGATATAGCTTAGTGGTAGGAGTTTGACTGGCATGAGGCCTGAGTTTAATCTCTACTGCAGAAAGGGTGGGGGGGGGGGAGTGGAGATTTGGAGGGAAGAGGAGAGAGAGGGAGTAGATTAGTTAAATTAGCTCACTTGGTAGGGGAAAAGCAGCTTTCTTGCTTTTTGCAATTATCTTTGTGACAAGGACACATGGGATCAGGTAGTGAGCCCAGTTACAACAGTGTCAGTGCTTAGAAAAGGGTTCCTTGATCCTGCTAGCCTCCCCACCCCACCCCCGCCCCGCAAAGCACACTGGGTTGGCAGAGAGGCTCCCACGAACCCTCCCCTTTCTCCTGTACTCCTTCTTCATGTCAGACCTGTTAAGGGGTATGAGTTTGGGGAAGAATTGCCCTTGCACCTCCTGTATTTACTATTTTTCTCAAAACCATACAACTCCAAAGAACATAAGAAAAATTGTTCTGTCCACTTTTGATGTTGAAGATTTTAGTTACCTTTTTGGTACTTTGTATGTATTTTATATGTAAAATTTTACACAATTAAAATGGGTTTTGTCTAGTAAGCCAGAATGCCTTTTTTTTTTTTTTTCCTGCGATAGGATCTCATGTAGCTTCCAACTTGCTATGTGTCTGGAGCTAGCCCTTGCTATGTGTCTGGAGCTAGCCTTGAACACTTCACCCTCCTACCTCCACGCCCAGGCCACGGGATCAGGGCCACGCGCCACTCAGCTGATTGGTGCTTTTTCTGTTTGGTGTTTTGAGGCAGGGTCTTACTACAGAGTCATAGATGATCTGGGACTTGCTATGTAGATCAGGATGGCCTCAAACTTGCAACAACCTTTCTGCCTCTGCTGCCAGAATCTGGAATCACAAACACGTGTCACATCCTGCCAGAATGACTGAGACCATCCATTATCAGAGGAGCTCTAACATGACCTCAAGCACCCACACACTGACAAAGGTTTTGAGGCTTGTGGGAACAAGATCATATTGCTGAGGGAAGGCAGCTGTTCCCCTTCTCCAAAGAGTGAGGCAAGCCTGGATTTTATCCAGGGCCCTTTTTTTGTTTTGTTTTTCAAGACAGGGTTTCTCTGTGTAGCTTTGGAGGCTGTCCTGAAACTCGATCTGTAGACCAGGCTGGCCTCGAACTCACAAAGATCCACCTGCCTCTGCCTGCCTCTGCTGGGATTAAAGGTGTGTGTCACTACCGCCCGGCTTGTTTTGAGTTTTTATATCTGTATTTCTACATACTGGCCATCACGATCTAGACATGACAGGAACACTGTGAACTTACATATCCATGATGCAATCCATTTCTCCACTTGCTCCTCCTTGACATCCTAGATAATTATGAATTATTATTCACCTAGCTATTTAAGGTCCCTCCTCAACTCTTCCCCATCATCATCCAATTATTAACTGCCTGTTGGGTTTGCATTCTATGTGAACTCCAACCTGTTTGGTCTGTCTTTCCTGCTTTATTCAGTCCGTCCTCACATCTGAACTAGACCACTGTAATCACTTCCTAACTGACCTTTGCATTCAGTCCTGTTACTCTCCCCGCATGATGGTTTTACTCCTTGTTTAAACCATCATTAAGCTATCTTTACCTGTAACAGCATTTCCCAAAGTTTTATATGTGAGCCTGGGGTAGAATAAGGTAGGAAAAAAACAACTAGTAGATACTGATTTACTAGTGACTTACTTAAAGCACTGCTTGTACTGCCTATTTGCCAATCATGACTTCATTTGCTACCCGATGACCTGGAGAAATAGCCAAAACAACCTGCTGACTGCCTGTCCACTCCTGTGAAGTCCTGCTTGCTTGCCTGCCCATGTGTGGTTTTAGAGCATAAAATGAGAGTACAAACGGGACCTGGGACAGAGTCCTTTCAGGAACTGTGCTGGCTGCAGTCCCCTGACGACATCTCCATCCCACTCTTACTGGTGTTGAAATGCTTATCCCATAAGATTCAACATTGTATTCTTCAACAAGCTCTTGGTGTCAGCTGAGATGATTTTAGTAGTAGACCAACACATAAAAAAAAAAAGAAAAGAAAAGAAGAGAAAAGAAAACCCAGCCGGGTGGTGGTGGCGAATGCCTTTAATTCCAGCACTCGGGAGGTAGAGGTAGGCGGATCTCTGTGAGTTCAAGACCAGCCTGGTCTACAAGAGCTAGTTCCAGGACAGCCTCCAAAGCCACAGAGAAACCCTGTCTCAAAAAAACAAAACAAAACAAAACCACAAAAAAGGACAACAACAAACCCACTTAAGCTTTTAGTATATTGGAGGATGGTCTTGAACTTGTAAGCCTTCTGCCTCTGAGACCTGGGATTAGGCATGCATCAAAATACTAGGTTTATGTGGCCCTGGGGACCAATACAAGGCTTCACACATGATAGGCAAAACACTTTTTACAGTATATTTTTGTGCAAATTTACTGTAGAAAATCTTGCTTTTCCAATTATAGTAGTGTGATTAAATGTCCTTTTAGAGTAAATTTGTGTTTAAAAATCTGTCTTGGCATTAAGAAAAATAATGCCAAGCAAAAAATAATTTAGAATCTATTGGGGTAGGGAGTATTTCCAAATGTTAAAAGTCTTAAGTACAGAGCTGGAGGGAAGATGGCTCAGAGGTTAAGAAGCCTGGGAATCTGATAGCCTCTTTTGACCTCTTCAGGAACCTTACTCAGGTTCCACCACCACAAAGACACAAATAAGGCAGGTGAGGTGGTTCATGCTGAGGCATGATCACTGTAAGTTCAAGGCCAGCCTAGTCCACATTGGGTTCCAGTCAGGACTACATAACTTGTCTTAAATAAATAAACCTTAAAAAAAACACAAACACTCAAAATATTTGAGGAAAAATTTCTTATTTTAGGATTAAACTGCAGAAAATCCTTAGTATGGCAATATGATCCTAAACTGTCATTTACAGATTTATTTCCCAGTCACATAACTTTAAGCATACAAAATTCCTTCTCATTCTGAAATTCATTCATTTCTTCTCTCCCATTGGGACAAGCACCAGATACAAGTTTTGGAGATAATTGCAAAGAAGCATCTTTACATCATAATGAGTGGAAAACAAGTTAAAAACAAAACAAGATAATTAAACATCTGTTTTTAAATTCTAAGGAGGAAAGAAACAGAAAAGAAGGATAATAAAAATGCCTTCAGTAAGCCCGGGCAATGGTAGCGCATGCCTTTAATCCCAGCACTTGGGAGGCAGAAGCAGGTATCTTGGGATACATAGAGAAACACTGCTGAAAAACAAAACAAAACAACAACAAAACCAAAAAGGCCAGGCCGAGCCCACACCTTTAATCCCAACACTCCAGAGGCAGAGGCAGGCCTCTGAGATCCGCCTGCCTCTGCCTCCCGAGTGCTGGGGTTAAAGGTGTGTGCCACCACTGCCTGGCTGGTAAATCCATTTCTAGTCCAGACCATTGAGGAAAGGCACACACCTTTGATCCAGATCGTGAGTTGGGAAAACACACCTTTAATCTGGGCCACACCCTCTGCTGGCAGCATATATAAAGACCTAGGAAGAGAAAGTCTTTGCTCTTTGCTGCTTGCACAGCCACTTGCCAGACAGCTACTAGAAGTTTGGACGTCCCACTCACAGCTAACCACTGTTTGCATTAGCTGGACTGCAGCCTGTAAGTCATTCCAACAAATGGTGTGTGTGTGTGTGTGTGTGTGTGTGTGTGTGTGTGTGTGTGTGTGTGAGAGAGAGAGAGAGACAGAGAGACAGAGACAGAGAGAGACAGAGAGAGACAGAGAGAGAGAGAGAGAGATTCATTCCATAAGTTGTTGACTCTAGAGAACCCTGACTAAGGTGCCATACTATCATCAAGGATGTTAAAACTGATGCCTCCTTCCCTTCCTGTCTAGCTCTGATTTGTGCCATGCTGGGGAGGAAATCTGGGGTTTCATGAATACTATTGTAAATATATTTATCAATTAAGCTCATTCTCAGCTCCAGGAGACTAACCTTTAAAAAAAATTTGAAGCTGGGTGTGCTGGGGCACATCTTTAATCCCACTACTCCAGAGGCTGAAGCAGACAACTCTCTGTGCATTTGAGGCCAGCCTGGTCTACAGTGAGACTCAAAACAAAAAATTTGCTTTCTGCCTGGCCAATCAAATTTCAATGTCCTCATTGAATATTTCCTTTTTTTGTTTTTCAAGACAGGGTTTCTCTGAATTGCTTTGGAACCTGTCCTGGAACTCCCTCTGTAGACCAGGCTGGCCTGGAACTAGAGATCTTCCTGCCTCTGCCTCCCGAGTGCTGGGATTAAAAGTGTGGGCCACCAACACTCAGCCTGGCCTTTTTGGTTTTTTGTTTTGTTTTTCAGCAGGGTTTCTCTATGTATCCCTAGCTACCTGCTTCTGCCTACCAAGTGCTGGGATTAAAGGCATGGCTTGTCTACTAGTTTCCCTGAGATTCTGTGCCAGGCTTGATTTAGCTTAGTTTTTAATGTTTCCTATAAAGATTAAATGGCTTCTTCAAACAGTGTATATATGCTTAAATTACTTTGTAGTCTTAATTCTGCCCCCCCCCAGGGTTTCTCTGTGGCTTTGGAGGCTGTCCTGGAACTAGCTCTTGTAGACCAGGCTGGTCTCGAACTCTCAGAGATCCGCCTGCCTCTTACTCCTGAGCGCTGGGATTAAAGACGTGTGCCACCACCGCCTGGCAGTCTTAATTTTTCTTAACATTAACTTGTATGTGTATATGCATGTGTTTACAACTTGTTTGAAGGCAGGCACGTAGAGGTCAGAGGACACCTTGTAAAAGTCGTTTCTTTCCTTCCACCTTGTGGGTGTTAGGGATCGAACTCATGGTGTCACACTTGGCAGCAACAGCCTTTCCTGCTGAGCCATCTCATCGGTACTAACTCGCGTTTGAGATTAAAAACAAAAATTTAATTCAACTGCCATTTCCTAGCATGGAGTGGGGAGAAGGAAAACAAGCCTCTAATAAGGAAACCAATACGGCTTTATAATGACTTCTTGTTAGTTGAAGGTTTTAAGAGAAAGCCAATGACTTCACTCACCCTTTGAATTTGTCCCAACGCGGAAGCGCTCGCGACCTGCTCAACATGGCTGGAGGAGCACTTCCGGCACCGTTTTATTTTACTATAGTTTGTATTCTTTGTAGGCTCTCATCCTGTAGCTTTAGAGCTCGACCTGGTGGCACATGCCTTTAATCCTAGCACCTGGAAGTCCGAGGCAGGTGGGTCTCTGACTTCGAGACCAGCCAGGACTACATAGAAAGACTGTCACAAAACAAAACACGCCAAACTAAGTAGCCTTGGCTGGTCTGGAACTCACCATATAGACTAAGATGGCCTCGAACTCAAAGCGATCCACCCGTGCTGCCGAGTGTTGGGCGTAAATCGCGCAGCCACGCCAAATTGACAGCTCCACTTTAAAGTAGCCCCGCCTGCCTTTGAGACTTTTCACACGCCGAGGGCGGGGCTTGGAGCCAATCTTTGATTGGTTAGCCTGACTGTGACGTTTATCCTCTGCGACAGTTTCCCGAGGTGCCTAGCTCGCTGCAGCGCGGACGAGAGCTCGGAGAGAAGCAAGATGGCGGACGTGCTGGATCTTCACGAGGCCGGTGGCGAGGATTTCGCCATGGATGAGGATGGGGACGGTGAGGAGAATTGAGGCGGCTGCGGGAAGAGGGGAAGGAGCGCGAGAAGAATGTAGTAGGAGGGAATTTCCTGGGATGCGGGCTCACGAAGTGGGTCTCGACTGGAGACTCCGCCCCCCTGGGAAGGAATTAGGGGCGGAACCGGGAAGGGACTGAAGCTGAAGTCCCTGTTTTAAGCTTCCAGATAGTCTTGGGAACGAGACAGTTTTTTTTAAAAAATGACTTATTTTTGTTGCTTATTTTCTCTTCTGGAACTCTAGAGAGCATCCATAAACTAAAAGAAAAAGCGAAGAAACGGAAGGGTCGCGGCTTTGGCTCCGGTGAGTGTGGGGAACAGAATAGAGTGGTCTAATAAGAAGTGTGGGAACTTTGTGGTCTGATGGGAATACATATGAAGGACAGTTTTCGGTGATCTAGTATGTGTTCTTTTAGAAGAGGGGTCCCGAGCGCGGATGCGAGAGGATTATGACAGTGTGGAGCAGGATGGCGATGAACCCGGACCGCAGCGCTGTAAGTAAATAGGACTTCTGGGGAATCTGTGTGTACTGGCACTTAAATGGGAATAAAGTAAGAGACAGTTTGACCAATCTCTCGCTGTCTGTCTCTCTGTCTCTTGCTCTCTTTCTTTCTCTCTCTCCCTCCTTCCCTCTCCCTCCTTCCTTCCTCCCTCCCTCCCTGTCCTAGAACTCTCTTTTTAGACCAGGCTGGCCTCGAACTCTCAGGGATCCATCTGCCTCTGCCTCTGCCTTCAGGAGTGCTGGGATTAAAAGTTTGTGCCACTATGCCCCTGCCTTTTTTAGGTTTGTGATAAGAGTCTCACTGTGTAGCCTTAGTTGACCTGGAACTCACAAATCTGCCTGCCTCTGCCTCCGCTTTCTAAGCACTGGGCTTTTTATCTTTGTGCTCATACAACACCCTCCCTTACCCAACAGCTGTCGAAGGCTGGATTCTCTTTGTCACTGGAGTCCACGAAGAAGCCACTGAAGAAGATATTCATGACAAGTTTGCTGAATATGGGGAAATAAAAAACATCCATCTCAACTTGGACAGACGTACAGGATACTTGAAGGTAGATTTTCCTGCTTCCTTCAATAACTCTACGTTGGAGGTTATTTTGTATTTGTAGTGGTTGTCCAAGAACAGGGATTAAGTGAAATGACATTGAAATTGATTTTGTTACCTACAAGAATGGAAACAAAATGGGCGTATAATGGGGATGTATGATGTAATTGTCACTATATAGAGCTGGTAAATTTTTCTGGTTAGGTATGCAGTTCAGGTTTAAGGAAGGGGTACTTGACGGTTGGTGACGTAGACTTTTGAACTTTCCACAGGGGTACACTCTAGTTGAGTATGAGACATACAAAGAGGCTCAGGCCGCCATGGAAGGACTCAATGGTCAAGATCTGATGGGACAGCCAATCAGCGTCGACTGGTGTTTTGTTCGGGGTCCTCCAAAGGGCAAGAGGAGGTAAGACAGAAGGGAGGGCAGACATGAACGAGATAAACAAGGGTTTTGTATTGTCCTTTGGTGAATCCTTCTTTTCATTTTCCTCAGAGGTGGCCGAAGACGAAGCAGGAGTCCAGACCGGAGACGTCGTTGATAAATCCTCTGTTGCCCAGGTGGTCTCTCCACGAGTCCATTTGGTGTTACTGCCTTGCATAAATAGGGCTAGGGTGGAACTTGTGTTTATATTTAATTTCTTACCCTGTCTACTTTGTATTGCTTTGAGTTAAAAAGTAATAAATGTTTTGTTTTCTACATTTAAAGTTTTACTGTTCTGGAGACTGAAGAGGTTTACAGTAAGGCCTTCTGAGTCACTGGGAAGACTGTGTCTGGAGTGGGATTCTGAGTTTCTAGAGGCTCCAATAGAGACTGCTCACATTTCTTTTTCTTAGAAGACCAGAGAGCAGGGGTAGTGAGGTTTTTGTAGCATTAAGGAATGATTCTTACTCTTGTGAGCAGATACTGTATTAGTGCTTCTCTTCTCACACAGTCTGATGTAGCCCAGGGTGGCCCAGAACTTCTGTTACTTTGCCTTGGTGTCCCAGGCGCTCAGATTCCAGGCATGGGCCACCATACCCAGTTTATGTGGTCCCTGTGACTAAAACTTGGGGACTTTGCATGTGCTCAGCCAGCTCTGCCTTGAGTATGGTGCTGAACATAGTTTGTTAGTTCCTACAACACAAAAGAAACCCAGCTTGATTACTATATAACAGTACACTTCTGAGAAGGACATTGCAGCCTGGCAGTGGTGGCACACACCTTTAACCCCTGCACATGGGAGTCAGGGGCAGGTGGATCTCTGAGTTTGAGGCCAGCCTGGTCTACAGAGTAAATTCTAGGAAAGCTAGGGCTATACAAAGAAACCCTGTCTAGAAAAACAAAAATAAACAGAAAATCACATTGCTAGCCCTTTCTCATAGTTTTTAGTTGAAATGATTTTTTGATATGTCTGTAGTAACTTTGTGGGATTATTTTTGCTGTTGCTTTGAAGTCTTATGTGGGTCACTATGTGACTCACATTGGCCTCAGACTTAAGATACTCCTGTTTCTCTGATGTATAATGGCAAATATTAAACATTTTTTCAGATATTATTGGTTGCCCTGTCCTTCTTTTTGGTAAATTGCTGGGGTTTTGGATTGAATTGGTTAAGAATATATTTTAGTTTATATTTGCAGGGTTAGAGTGCTTTGGTTCTTTTTGATAATGTAGATTGAATAACTATTAGTTTGACAAAAGATTTCTAGATTTTGAAGTATTTGAGAGAGTAAGTTGAGCAAGCATTAGGAATTTTAGAAAATAGTATCATCCAGAGAGACATTAGATGAACTGCTTAGATATGACTTGGCTATTTTGAATCAGTTGGGAAGATCCTCTTCTATAACTGATGTTCTTTTTGCTTTGTTTGAGAAATATAAAAATAGCTCAGAGGGGTAGGGATGTGGTTCAGCTGGTAGAATGCCTGTCTAGTATGCACAAGCCCTGAGTTGTGTTGACCAAAACCGCATAAAATGGACATGGTGGCTCCTTTCTGTGATCCTAGCACTAACTTGGGAGATGAAGCCTGAAGAAAGTTGACTTCATCCTCAGCTACATAGGTGGTTGTCAGTCAGCCTGGGCTATATGAGATCTGTCTCTGGGGAGAGGAGTTGGAAGGGGAAACTCACTGGTTGATTTGTATGGCTTTCTAACTTTCCTTTCTCCTACAAACTTAACCATGTGCAGTAGCAACCCTCCTTTTAACTACTACAACTTTGAAACTTGAACTTACATAAATAAGTAATTTCCTGCTATTCCTAATGTCATTCTTTATACCATAAAAATTTTTGTCTTTGTGTCTGACTGTATGCCACGTGTCCCAGTAGTCTTCTTTTAATATGTAGCTGTTTATGAGTGTTTTGCCTGCGTGTGTCTTTGTACATCACATATGTGCCTGTTGCTTGAGAGTCAGAACAGGGCTCCAGATCCTTTGGGATTGGAGTTACAGATGGTTGTGAGCTACCATGTGGGTTCCCAGATTGAGTCTATGTCCTCTGAAGAGTAGCCAGTGCTTTTTTTTTTTTTTTTTCTTCTGAGACATGGTTTTTCTGTGTAGCTTTATAGACCAGGCTGGCCTTGAATTCACAGAGATCCCACCTGCCTCTGCCTCCCAAGTGCTCTTAACCACTGAGTCAACTCTCCAGCCCTAGGTGCCTTTTTAATAATAGGTGGTGGAGATCTTGTTTTCCTGCCTTAGAACTATAAGTCAGGCTTTTGCTGTGGCTGCTGCTACTTTTTAGGCAAGGTCTTAAAACTAATTAGATCAGGCTAGCCTAGAACTCAGCTAACTGACTGCATTTCCCTCCATTACTGGGTTGAGATAGGTCAGGCTTGTGTTAAATTTCTGATTTTTATGATTTGAGATTAAGTCTTAAGCAACAATGTCTTGCTATATCGCCCTTTTGGCCTGAAACTTCTGACAGACTACTAGGCTGACATTGAAATTGCGGTCCTCCTACCTCTTTCTCCAGTGCTGGAATTACAGGCATATACCACAATGTCCAACTTACTTTCATAGCTATAAAGTTAGAGTAAAAGTCACAAGCTTAATATGTCACCCTCCACCTTGTATGTAGTGTGTCTGCTCTTGCCTCAGGACAAACAGACTCTGACCCACCTTTGTCTTGCACATACTCATTTTCTAATCTTCAACTTTATAAGTAACATGTGAGACTCGCATGCACTTGTAACACCTGTCTTCAAGACTTTTCCTGGATTTCAAGAGTAGGTTAGATATTCCACTCTTGTGTACTGCTAACGTGGCTGGGCATACCAGGCTGGAAGTGCCCATAAGTACCTGTCAAGTAGAGTATACTCAAGAGTTGATGGACATTGTTTCTTAATGGAATAAAAAACTACAGAGGTTAATTCACAGCTCCAGATTTAAAAAAAATATGAATTGTGTTTTGCTTTACATGTTTGTATCACTTGCATACCTGTACCTACTGAGGTTAGAGGAGGTGTCAGATCCCCTGGAATTAGTTACAGGTGGTTGTGAGCCCTTGTGTGTGCTGACAATTGAACCTGGGCCACCTCCAAGAACACGTGCTCTTCTAGTCAACTCTAGTCAGACCTTCCCTCCCTCCCTCCCTCCCTCCCTCCCTCCCTCCCTCCCTCCCTCCCTCCCTCCCTCCCTCCCTCCCTTCCTTCCTTCCTTCCTTCCTTCCTTCCTTCCTTCTTCCTGCCTTTCCCTCTTTCCTTCCAGACAAGCAAGGTTTCTCTGTATAGCTCTGGCTGTCCTGGAACTTGCTCTGTAGACCAGGCTGGCCCTGAACTCAGAGATCCACCTGCCTCTGCCTCCCAAGTGCTGGGATTAAAGGTGTGTGCCCACTGATGTCATTCTTACTGACCTCCTCTGCCCTGTAGTTCTTATGTACCAGTGTCTTAGAGGAGGTGATACCAGGATGCAAAGAGGTGGGAATCGAGCACTGCAAAGCTAGCCTGAGGGAAGAGACAGATGCAGATAATAGGCTACTGCGTTTAAATAACTGTTACGTGTATTAATGTCAGCTTGGTGTGTACACATGTGAACCACGTGCATTCCTGGTGCCCATGGAGGCCAGAAGAGAGCATCGGATCTAGAACTGAAGCTAGAGACAGTTGTGAGCAGCTATGTGCGTGCTGGGAATTGAACCAGTAAGCACTCTTAACTACCAAACTAGCACCTGCCCCATCTCTTAAAAGTCAGGGTCCAGCTCTGTCTGGACCGAATGGAGCTCTGTAAATAAAATAATTTAAACTTGCATTGGTCTCCTGCCTCTGCTTCATGAGTGTTGGGATTTCAGGTATTTGCCATCATACCCAGCAAAATGTAGGTCTCTAGCATGTCAATAATCTTCCCAGGAGGGAGCAGAGTCTCCCTCCCTGAAGATCCATGACCTGCAGCCTTCGAAGGATGCTGTGCAGTAACTTCCCAAGCACCTACTGTGTAGCCAAATACCTTTTCAGCCCAGCCCGCAGCCCTGACAACTCACCTAAGGCAAGCAAGAAGCCAAGGTTTCCTCCATACATTTCATTTACACCTGTTTACACCTTTCCACCTGAACGCTGGGTTAAAGCCAGTCGCAGGAAAGCCACCCACATGACAGTTTTTAGAGGTATGGGGTCTAACATGCGACGTCTCCAACTAGATACTGGACAAGAATATTTCAGGTAACATCTAGGGGCATAACCGCAGAAATGACCGTTAAGTTGGCAACGGTTAACGAGTCAAGAGTAGCGGAGCTGGGAAGGGATGGAGCTGGCTGCATTACTGGTGCACAGCTAGGTTTCTTCCAGCAAAGTCACTCAGAGCACAATGGTCACTTGCATTCGGACCTTGCTACCCCTGAGAAAGTGGGCATCTCTGACCTATTTCCACTCCTGTAATTTTGCCCAGCCGTCCTTCACTACTGATGACCCCGAAAGTGTGCCGGGGCCTGCAGATGTGGTAGCCTGTGAATTTCGTCCACTTGATTCTGCCCCTGGATTCTACATCCTATCTATTCGGGAGGAGTTGCCAAACGGGATCTCATCACCCCCTTTTCCCTTGGACCCTTTCCCTTTCCCTTTCTGCTGCCCTGGGCTCTTCGTTGCCCCCAGTGGGATAGGGATAGGATAGATTGCCTTGGTCGACATCCTACAGAGCCTCCGAGTTCCCGCAGGCCCCGCCCCTTGCTGCTGAGACTTTAAAGCAGAGTGTGCTACTGAGAGAGCGTGCTTAGAGGCTGGAGACAGTCCCAGAGGGGGCGATGTGCCGGAAATGCACCCACGATCTCGCTTCGAGCCTTGAAACTCCGCCACAGGGCCGGCTCCGGCTGGTTGACTTTCCTGCCGCCGTTTGTCCCTCGCGAAGCCCCGTTGCTCGCCCGGGAGGCGTGACTAGGGGCTGGAAGCAGGCGGGCGGCGGCGCCGTGGGCCCGGGCTGCCGCTGTCATGGACGCCTGGGTCCGCTTCAGTGCGCAGAGCCAAGCCCGGGAGCGGCTGTGTAGGTGCGGCCGACGGAGGAGCGCGGGCGGGAGGGCAGAGCAGGTGCCCGCGAGGCAACGGGCGCGCTACGGGGTCCCTAAGGGTCAGCTGTGGGTACGGGGGCCCGCGCGGCCCGGGAGGCGCACTCTGCAGCCGGTTGTGAGATGATTCTTTCCTGCTCACGGGAAAGATGGGGAAACTGAGGCATGAGTGGGCCAGCGGGGAGGCCGCCCAGGGTTACCGTGTCCACAAAGCGCAACAGTTTCCTCACTGCCGTGGTGGCTTGAGGGGCGATCTTCCCGGTTCTGCGTCCTCTCACCGGCTGTCACCTAGGAGAGCGCTGTCTCGGCTCTCCTTCGAGTCCCATACGGGTCAAGGACCTTAATCTCTTAGTTCACCTATCCGGAGGAATAATCCGCCCCTCAACTAGCTCGCCCTCTGTGGTGTTTCCTATATAAACCCGCGCGTGGACGCTTGTGATGGATCCCGGCTGGTTTCTGGCCCCTTTAGGCCTCACCATTTTACTCTCTTAACCCCAAATAGTGCTCTCCACCCTCTCAATAGGCTACATTTCCCCCTTATGTCGTTCTCTTCTCCTGGCTTTGAGGAAAAACGGAAAGACTGATGTAAAAAGGAGGAAATGTCCCCGGCGGAGTTTTTGTTTTTGTATTACTATTTGTCTGAGCTTTTGTCCGCAAGTGTGTATGTGCACCGCATGTGGTGTCTGGTGCGTGAGGTCAGAAGAGGGTGATTGATCTCCTGGAACTGGAGTTACAGACAGTTGTGAGCCACCATGTGGGTGCTGGGAATGCAACCGGGGCTCATTGTCCTCTCCAAGAACAAGTGCTCCTAACGGCCTCACCGTCCTGCTGGAGGGCATTTTTGGCAGAGAGGTTAGTGGGCCAGCCCCTTACTTTTCCTGTCCTCCCCTCCAGGGCTGCCCAGTATGCCTGTTCCCTTCTTGGACACGCTTTGCAGAGACATGGGGCTAGTCCCGAGTTGCAGAAACAGATTCGACAGCTGGAGGGTCATCTGAGCCTCGGGAGAAAGCGTAAGTGAACCAAACCTTTCTATTAGCCTTTGCCTCTCCTTCCAGTACTTTCCCTTTCTGCTGGTTTGCCATAATTTGGCTCTTCTGCATGCCTCCAGCTGAGATAAGACAGCAGGTAAAGATGGTAAACACGGCTTGGAGAGAATGGGGCAAGTGGGAAAAAAAACTAAACTGGGACAAACATTAATTACAATTTGATTTTTTTAAAAAGAGCAAATTATTTTTACTCTTTCTTATTGTATGTTGTTCTTGCTTCTCAACTTTTGCTTTTTTCTTTCTTCTCCACCCCCACCTTTGCCTCTGTACTTCAAATCCCTTGCTTTCCCGCGTTCTTCTCCACCAGTGCTACGCCTGGGTAACTCGGCAGATGCTCTTGAGTCCGCCAAAAGAGCTGTGCACCTATCAGATGTTGTCCTGAGATTCTGCGTCACTGTTAGTCATCTCAATCGAGCCTTATACTTTGCCTGTGACAATGTTCTGTGGGCTGGAAAGTCCGGACTAGCTCCCCGTGTGGACCAGGAAAAGTGGGCGCAGCGTTCATTCAGGTTTGATTTTTGTTTTCTCCTACAACACTATTTGTGGCCTCCGTTCCTTATTGCACACGCGTGTGTGTGTTCGCGCGCACACACACACACACACACACACACACACACACCCCAACATTTAAATATTTTACTTTATGCGTGTGGGTGATTTGCCTGCATGTCTGTGCACCATTTGTGTGCCTGGTGCTGGCAGAGGCCAAAAGAAGGCACCAGAACTGGAGTTACAGATGGTTATGAGCTGTCATGTGGGTTCTGGGCATCAAAACCCAGGTCCTTGGGAAGAGAGGGTTGCTTTTACACACTAAACCATCACTCTAGCCCCGAGTGTGTGTGTGTGTGTGTGTGTGTGTATGTTTAAAAAGAATGGACTGGAGAGATGGCTCAGAGGTTAAGAACCCTGCTTGCCCTTCCAGAGGTCCTGAGTTCAATTCCCAACAACGTGGTAGCTCACAACCATCTATAATGAGATCTGGCGGCTTTTCTGATGTGCAGACATAAATGCAGGCAGAATACTGTGCACATAATAAATAAATAAACTGCATCACACATGTGTAGGTCAGCACGCAGTGGGCTTTCTCTGGCCACTGTGAGTCCCAGGTACAGACTCTGGCCATCAGGCCTGTGTGGCAGGTGCTCCCACCCCTGAGCCGTTTCCCCAGCCCATAACTTGCTGTTTACAAGATGGAGGTAACTCAGGATGTTCTGAGTATGCAATTGGATTTTCACAGCTATTGTTTCCACTTCTTTTGATTCAAGCAACCACAGATTGAAAATGTCAAGGGGAAAAGTGCATCTGAACTGAATGTGTGAAAGTGTTTTGTGTCATTATGCCATAAACACTATAGTTGCATATATATTATATTAGATATTTTAAAATATCTGGAGGTGGATACAGAGGATTGTGTAGGTTATATATAAATGCAATACCATTTTATCTGCGGGATTTGAGCAGCTGTGGATTTGGGTAGGATTTGGGTGATTGGGCTGAGTGCAGGATCCTGGAATTAATCTTCCATGGATGCAAGGACAATATATTATTAATTTTTTGTCTGTTTTTTTTTTTTTTGGTTTTTTGAGACAGGGTTTCTCTGTGGCTTTGGAGGCTGTCCTGGAACTCACTTTGTAGACCAGGCTGGCCTCGAACTCACAGAGATCCGCCTGCCTCTGCCTCCCGAGTGCTGGGATTAAAGGCGTGCATCACCAACGCCTGGCTTTTTGTCTGTTTTTGAGACAGGGTCTTACATATATATCCCTGGTTGACTCACTATATAGACTCTCCTGATTTGGACTCACAGAGATTTACCTGACTTTGTTTCCAAAGTGCTGGAATTAAAGATGTGTGCCACCATGCCATGACAAATATCTACCTTAATTTACCATTTGGTTTCCAATCTTCATTTGTATCTTAAACATAAAAGAGTAACACTATCAGATGGATGTTAGATTTGCTATACCATAATAAGTGGCTGAGATTGGAGATGATAAATATTGTATTAGTTTAATTATATCTAAACCATAGATAGTCTACCCTCATTGCCTTTCTACTCATTTATTCATGTTTCCTCTTAAAATTTTTTATTTATTAGTTAGGTGTTGGTGGCACACGCACCTTTAATCCCAGCTCTTGGGAGGCAGAGGCAGGCGATCTCTGAGTTCAAGGCCTAACTGATCTACAGAGAGAGTGCCAGGATAGGCTCCAAAGCTACACAGAGAAACCCTGTCTTGAAAAAAACACAAATTTTAAAAATGTGTTATTAGCGTGTGTGAGGGGGCAGGTGGCATTGCCACACTGTGTGGAGGACAGTTTGCAAGGGTTGGTTCTCCCCTTCCACCATGCGGATCTCAAGGTTGAACTCTGGTCATCACATTTGGTGATGGAGCCTTTGCCCTGCTGGGTCATCTTGCCTGTTTTTTGTTTGGTTGGTTTTTGTTTTATTTTATTGTTGTTATTTTTGAGATAGATCTCACTACATAGCCTAATTTAGCCTTGAACTCAGGATTCTCCTGCTTTAGACACCCCCTCCCCTTCCCCAGTTTAGGAGAGGATTATGTGATACCATGTCTAGTGTCCTTTCATTTCATGATCTAGGGTCTCATAGGACTAAGATAATACAGTTCTACAAGCATGAAGACCTGAGTTTGGTTCCCAGAACCCCGCCCATACACACACAACCCCCAACACACACATAAACCAGGGATGGATGCACTCTTATAATCCCAGCAGTGTGGAGGTTAATCAGGAGGATTCCTAAAGCTCTCTGGCCAGCCAGCCCAGAACAATGAGCAAGTTTCAGGCCAAGTGATAAATCCTGTCTCAAAAAACAAGGTGGGTAGCACCTGAGGAGTGACCCCAAGGCTGAACTCTGGGCTTCACGTGTATGTGCACACATATGCATACATAACCACAAATGTGCACCCACACACGTGTACTCAGGCTGGTACAGAGTTCCTGGGTTCAAGCAGTCCTCCTACCTTAGCCATCCTAGTAGCTGGGACTCCGTGAGCATGTGCCACTACTGATGTGCTTGGCTTTTACAAAAATATTTCTTAATTTCTAACTATGGGTCAGGACATTAGGCAGAAGCCAAACAAATGTGGTTCCTGATCCATGAACTTAAGGTCTGCAATGAGATGACTTGATGAGTAAAAGCAAGCAGACCAGATGATCTGAGTTGCATCCCTGGGACCCAGGTAAAGGTAAAAGAAAAGACCCACTCCACAAAATTGTTCTTTGACTTGAATATGCATACCATGCACTTGGGCCCCCCATATCCGTACTACTACACATAATAGTAATAAATAAAGCAAATAAATTTAAAAAAAGAACCAAGGTTCATTACTGTGTAGGTAGGGATCCAGTTATTATAACAAATAATTTTACCAGTGAGATGGTTGAGTGGGTCAAAGGTGCTTGCTGGGTGAACCTAATGGCCTGAGTTCAATCCCTAGGGCCTGTGATGGGAGGAGAGAATTGAGTCCTGCAATGGGCTTTCCAGCCTCCATACATGAGCCATAGCATACCTGTACCTGCACGTACGCACGCACGCACGCATGCACACACACACACACACTTTTAAAAAACAGGAGGCTGCAGAAATACTTCAGTGGTTAAGAGCACTGGCTACTCTTCCAGAGGACCTGGGTTTGATTCCCAGCCCCCACGTGGCAGTTTAGAACCATCTCTTAATTGACTCCAGGTCCAGGAGAATCTGATACCCTCTTCCACTGGCAATGCATGCACATGGCACACAGACATATATACAGGCAAAACAACTATATATATATAATAAAAATTAGCCGGGCAGTGGTGGCCCTCCAGAAACAAAACTGTCCTTTGGTCTCTCAGACACATGCATACGCATCTGCCCACACTTTCATCTGCACACACACATACACACACACACACACACATACACACACAGTTATGGAAAGAATGATACAGGGTAAAGTTAAGAGGGGCTGAGGATGTAGCTCACTGGTAGAGTGCTGTCTAAGGTACCTAGGTTTCACTGTCACTAGATAAGAAGAAAATGAGTTGATAGTTTAAGAGCAGATGTAATGATTTACACTCATGCTACTACTAGCTACTTTATTAAACTCAATGGTTGGGGAAGGGACAAGAATGACCACAGAGAGACTGGTTAAAAGACCAAAGTGAGCTGGGCGTTGGTTGCACACACCTTTAATCCCAGCACTCGGGAGGCAGAGGCAGGCAGATCTCTGTGAGTTCAAGGTCAGCTTGGTCTACAGAGGAGGTTCCAGGACAGCCTCCAAAACAATACAAAGAAACCCTGTCTCAAAAAACAAAAAGCAAACAAAACAAAATAAAACAAAAAGACCAACGTGATAGTCTAGAGATGACTGTGGCTAACACTTGGTGGTAGAGAAATATCCTTATATTTTATTTCCCAAAGGGATAAAAAAGCCCAGTCTTTTAAAACATTTATTTATATTCATTTTAGTTATGTATTTATCTGTGTTGGCATGTATACACATGAGTACAGAGGCCTATAGATGCTAGAGGTGTTGGATCCCACTGGAGCTGGGTTTACAGGTGATAGTGAGCCACCATAGGTGCTAGAAACCAAACTTAAATCCCCTGGAAGAGCAGTACAGACTCTTAATGGATGAGCTGTCTCTCTAGCCTCTCAGAATAGGCTTTAAAACTAGGACAATTTATTGCGCGTAGATCACTGTTGCTAGAGTGGATTAAAAACAAAACAGACTGTAGAGATATCAAGTCAAGTGGTTGCATGTAAAGATGAAGACCTGAGTTTGGGTCCCCAGCACCCACATAAATCCCTGTCTGGGAGGTGGAGACAGGAAGATCCTGGGGTCTTTGTCCAGGTAACCAGTCTAGCCAAGGGGAAAGCTCCAGCTTCAGCAAAAGACCCTGTCTCAACACAGGTGGAGAGCAGCAGGGCAGTAGTAGAGTCGACCTCTGATCTCTGCAGGTTCGTACCTTGTAACACACACACACACACACACACACACACACACACACACACACACACAGAGCCAACATGACAAGAACAACAAAAAAACTCATAGGTTTTTGTATTTAAGACTTAGCTATGTATGCCTGTAAATCCAACACTAGGAAGGTTTAAGCCACATGGGGAATTCATAACCAGCCTGGACTACATAGTAAAACAAATCTTGTCTCAAAACATAACAAAAATGAGCCAGGCATGGTTGCACATGCCTTTAATCCCAGCACTCAGGAAGCAGAGGCAGGTGGATCTCTGTGAGTTCAAGGCCAGCCTGGTCTACAAAGTACATTCTGGGATAGCCAGGGCTACACAGAAAAACCCTGTCTTGAAAAAAGAAAAAGGTAAAAAAATTGTTCTGGGCTGGGTATGGTGGTATATGCCTTTAATTTCAGCACTTGGAGACAAAGGCAGAGGAATCTCTGTAGGTTTGAGGTATGCCTGGTCTACATAGTAAGTTATGACAGCCAGTGCTACAGGGTCAAAAAGAGTATTTTTGTGCTTAAGGAATTTATAACCTAACAACTCTAGCAGCCAATATCTCTGGGCCTATTCTTAGGGAAGGGGGTCTTTGCTTTTTTTTTAAAGATTGAATTTAACATATGTATAAATTTTTTTTCTTCTCTCTTTCTTGAGACAGGGTCTCATGTAGCCCAGGTTGTCCTTGAACTCCTAAGTGTTGGGATTATACGCATGAATCACCACTTTAGGCTATATGTGTCTCTTGAGCAACTAAATTTGTTTCTTCAAAATAGTTTGCATTATTGGGGTCAGGTGAAGTATGGTGTGTGTGTGTGTGTGTGTGTGTGTGTGTGTGTGTATTCACAAGTGTGTGTGAATGCCTGGGCACATGTATGCACCTGAGGCCCACACTTGGCTTTGGAAGTCTGTGTGTTTCTCCACCTTAGTCATTGAGGCAGGTCTTTCAGTGGAATTCAGAGTTCACCAATACAAGACTAGTCAGACCAGCCATCTTGTTCTGAGATATTCCCTATCGTCATGCCTACCAGCATTTACATAGGTTCTGGGGATCTGAACTTGGGTCCTTACCACTGACATCTCTCCAGCTCAGTGTGGTGTGTTATAGGGATTGTCTCAAAAATGAAATTTGAAGTCAATCTTGGCAGGTTTCATAACACTTATGAATCCTAAGCCAGAATCTTAAGGAGTATATAAACACATAATAATAATAGAGTAGTAGGAGAGTTCTTTCTTCTTTATTGTTTTTGGTGTATAAATATATGTATTTAAGTATACAATGTGAAATAATCAAGACTGTTAATATAGCTATAATGAGGCTGGAGAAATGACACAGCAGTTAGAACTCTGCTTGTCTGTCTTAGTTTGGGTTTATTACGGTGAAGCGACACTGACCACGACAGCTATAAAGGAAACCATTTTACTGGGGTGGTTTACGGTTTCAGAGGGGCAGGACATGGCGGCACGCAGGCAGACATGGTGCTGGGAAAGGAGCAGAGAGTCCTGCTTGACCCATGTGCAGTAGGAGGAATCTGTGTGCTGCATATGCAGTAGGAGGAATCTGTGTGCTGGGGATAGCTTGAGCATACATGAGACCTCAAAGCCCACCCCCATAGTGACACACTTCCTCCAACAAGGCCACATCTCCCAATAGTGTCACTCTTTATAGGCCAAGTATTCAAGCACATGAGTCTGTGGGGGCCACTCCTATTTACACCACACTGTTTCTTCAGAGGACACGGTTCAACTCCCAGTGCCTACATGGCAGCTTACAACCACCTGTAACTCCAGTTCCAGGGGATCTGACACCCTCTTCTGGTCTTCTTGGGTGCTAGGCATGCACATGGTACACAGACATGCATGTAGGTGAAACACTCAAATATGTAAAAAGAATACCTTAAAAAATGATCATAACCTTATAGTGACAACTTTCTAATTAAGAACACCTGATCTGATATCTAGCCATTTAGAAAACTTCAAGTATATGATGCAGTTGTATTAGCTGTAGTAACTAACCATGCTGTATACTAGATGTACAGAACTTATTTTGTAGAACTCAGTGTTCACCTTGTTGGCTAATGTCTTCCTGTTTCTCATACCTTCCAATCCTGGCAACCACCATCTTATTCCATGCCTCAGTGAGTTAGGCCATTTAGATTTAACATGTAAGTGAGATCATGTGTCTTTCCGTATCAGATTTATTGAACCTAGGGTATTGTCCAGAAGGAAGGACAGTTCTGTTCTTGGTGTTGCTGAGATTGAACTCAAGGACTCATGCATGCAAGTCAAATATTCTTACCAGTGAGCTATATCCCAACTTCTAAAGCAGTATAAAGTTTTTTTTTAAGATTTATTTATTTAAGCCGGGCGTTGGTGGCGCACACCTTTAATCCCAGCACTTGGGAGGCAGAGGCAGGCGAATCTCTGTGAGTTCGAGGCCAGCCTGGTCTACAAGAGCTAGTTCCAGGACAGCCTCCAAAGCCACAGAGAAACCCTGTCTCGAAAAACCAAAAAAAAATTTATTTATTTATTACATATACACCAGATTGAATTGCAGATGGTTGTGAGCCACCATGTGGTTGCTGGGAATTGAACTCAAGACCTCTGGAAGAGCAGTCAGTGCTCTTAACCTCTGAGCCATCTCTCCAGCCCCCAGGATAAAGTTTTAACTTAAAAAAATTATTTATTGCCAGGTGGTGGTGGTGCATGCCTTTAATCCCAGCACTCGGGAGGCAGAGGCAGGTGGATCTCTGTGAGTTCGAGGCCGGGCTGGACCAACAGCCTCCAAAACAATACAGAGAAACCCTGTCTCGTAAAAAACCAAAAAAAAATGTATTTGTTTACTTATGTTGTGTATGTGGGTACATGCATGTGCCATGGCGTCTGTGGAAGTCAGAGGATAACTTGAGGACAAAAGTTCTATCTTCCATGTGGGTTCTTGGGGTTGTACTTAGATCTTCTGGTGTGGTGGCAAGTACTTTTACCCACTAAGATGGCTCACCAGCCCAGAGCGGACATTTCCAGTGGTGGGTTATAGCATTTGTTTCTGATGTTCTAATGGGGAATCCCTTTGCAGCTCATGAAAAAAGTGTTCTGTTTGTGTAGGGTATGCAGAGCGGATGGAGTGTCTTCCTAACCTGTGCATCTGTCCTGTCCATGTCAGGTACTATCTGTTTTCCCTCATCATGAATCTGAGCCGCGACGCTTATGAGATCCGCCTACTGATGGAACAAGAGACCTCAGCTTATGGCAGGAGAATGAAGGTTTCTGGAGTCCCAGGAGGAGTGGAGACTGGGGGACCTGGGGAGCCAGGGACTCCAGGGGCATGCCTGCCACAACTGGCTCTCAAGTTTCGACTCCGAGTCCTGCTCCTCGCTCGTGTCCTTCGAGGTCACCCCCCTCTTCTGCTGGACGTGCTCAGAAACGCCTGTGACCTCTTCATCCCACTGGACAAACTAGGCCTCTGGCGCTGTGGCCCTGGGATTGTGGGCCTCTGTGGCCTCATCTCCTCCATTCTGTCTATTCTTACCCTAATCTGTCCCTGGCTACGACTCAAACCCTGATATTATAATGCAGGATAAGGAGGGGGCCTGGAATTGTGAGATGGAATATTAGATTGTCCCCCATGTGCCAGCCTCATTCTAATTCGACTCCCTAATTGAAGTCACAATCCAGATACTCAGGACGAAGGGAAGAACCTTGCCAAAGACAGGTCAGGAAGGCGATGCCAGTGGAAAACTCAGACAGGCCTCAAGAGGCATTTGGTCTTCTCTGTCAATGCCAGAATCTCTTTGCCCTCTTCCTTGTATCTGTCCTGAGTCTGGTTACGAATTCGTCACTATGCGACAGAATTGTCTTTCTTAGTCCCCTGACCAGATACTTAAACAGAACTGCTTTTTGGTAGGGGAAGTGTAAGTTTTGGGTGGTAAAGTGCTAATTGTATTCTTTGTCTGAAGCAGCATGTAGCATATTTTTTCCTTCACACTCCATAATTTTTGAGGCTTTATGTCATGTCCCAGCAGACTCTTCCCTCACCTGTCTGCACGCATGAAGGCCGTTTGACTCTCCTCCTGCTGTGTGCACCTCCCCAGTCTCCCTCCTGATTTGTTTGACTCTCCTCCTGCTGTGTGCACCTCCCCAGTCTCCCTCCTGATTTGTTTGACTCTCCTCCTCCTGCTGTGTGCACCTCCCCAGTCTCCCTCCTGATTTGTTTGACTCTCCTCCTCCTGCTGTGTGCACCTCCCCAGTCTCCCTCCTGATTTGGCGCTGCCCCTTCTCTCCTCCTCCTGTGTGCACCTCCCCAGTCTCCCTCCTGATTTGGCGCTGCCCCTTCTCTCCTCCTCCCGTGTGCACCTCCCCAGTCTCCCTCCTGATTTGGCGCTGCCCCTTCTCTCCTCCACACTCTCCAGTGTCGGCTTGGACTTGGGGATTAGCGTTCCCTCCTCCGCTGCCTCTTCCCCTTCCCTTCACCATCCACATTGATACTGTGTCTGCCTCTCGCTGTAAATACTGCACAATGAATCTGTAAATAACTGTGGTCCATGCCCACAGTACAAGGAAGCCTTCCGGGTCAGCAAATTAAAGACGAGTTTGCTCACTGAGTTACTTATTCAGTTTCAAGAAGGGGTCTCAGCTGCTACCCAGGCTGGCCTGAAACTGAGTTCTCTTGCCTCAGACTTTAGAGCGGCTAGGAGACCAGGCATGCGCCACTCTATCCAGCTGGTCACTGACCTCTGGTCTGGCCTCTCATGCTCTGGTCATTTTAAGCCTTAGTTCCTATGACTATGGATGGGTTTCTATGGTATTGGCAACTACCATCATTACTACAGGTTTTCATTGAAAACTTCAGTGATAGGGGAAATTAATTGAATAGTGGACAATAAAAAGTACTAAGATGTTTCTACCAATTTTGAGACATTTATAGCCTTCTTAAATTGGGGGTGGGATATCCTGAACCAAAGCAATTATATTGACACTACACAGACAAAGACTCTCCAAAAGTTATAAACATGACCAGAGTTCAATGGACTGGCAAGGTCACCCGGTGGGACTACCTTTCACACAGTAGGCAGGAGAACACTGCTGTCGTGGCTGTCAGCTTTTATTTTTGCATATCTCAGGTTCAAATTAATAAGGCAAAAAGAATTTGTCTCTAACTTCTACCTTCCTTCCAAACGGGAGGAAATCACTATTAACAGATAAACAGAGGGGAAAGTAGCCTCAGAAACGGTCAAATCTGTGTTCTCATTGAGTGTTAGCCGAGACCTCTAGGGGGCAGCACCGGGGCAGAGACCTGGACTAAGATCCCTCTGTCCTCTTGGTCTGGGGCTCCCCACAGTTCCCCACCACCACCCCTCCCATTCCGTTCAACTTTATTTTTAGCTGCCAGTGGGAGGGGGCAGGCTAGGAGGGAAAGTAAAGAAAACAGCCAAGGCGAGGGACAGAGAGGCACAGAGGACTTCTTGGACAAGACAGCACAAGCAGGCATGGGACGCCTCTCCTTCCCTCACCTGCTCCTGCCCCTGGCGCTGCTGGCAGGTGAGGGAGGCAAACTTCCTGGTTTCCGTTGGGGATGGAAGATGTGTGCGTTGTCTAGAACTGGGACATGGCGGTTAGATTATGAGGGAGTTCGGGTCAGAGGTTAATACTGATACGACATTTCGTGTGTGCGCTCATATTTGTGTACTCCCACCCAAATGACAGGAGTTGAAGATGCCTAGGGCTTGAGTAAGATTTGTACCTATTTATCTAACACCTTTGCCCTAAACTCCACAGAAATGAGGATACAGGATAGAAACACGTTTCTCCTCTTCCGTGCAGTGAGTCTGGTCCCTACTATTACCGTTGGCGCTCGCCGGTGCCTGAGGCATAATTGCCTTACTATGTGGTCAGAACTCTGGGTTCATCTAAGGAGTGAGCTACAGTTCCCGGTCTTATAACCCTGCCAATTTCCTGGATGCAAAAAGGCTCACACACAAAATACCTTTCTGAAAGGGAGCAGAGTTTGAGTTAGAGTTACAGATGCAGGGGGTGGGGGAGCAGGGCTGAGAGAGGGTTGCTTGGATGCAAGGGCAAGACAGTGGAGAGGAGAAGCATGGGGGGGACAAGAGGCCTGGAATTTTCCCTGCCGGTACCCTATAATCTTTGTTTCCTAAAATACCAGCTCTGATTTTATGGGAATTGGGGTCAGAAGAAAGGGATCAGCAGGACACAATTGGGGACCCCTTAGAGTGGACTAAAGTTGGAGGGAACTATGGGAGTGGGCGGGGGTAGTTGGGAGGTGGAGGAGATAAGCAGCAGGTTATGGGCAAGTATTTTGGGGGGTTGGTAGGACCCTTAACCAGGATAGATGGTAAACTATGTGTGTGGGCAGGCTGGTGGTTCCACCCAGTTAATTGGCACTGAGGTTTGAAGGGCTGGAAGCAACCAGCGTCCTAGGCCTTGGAGAAAGAGTGCAAGTGTGACAATGTCAAGAAAGAATGGAAAAAGGAGACACCCAGACTCCTCGCCCTCCGCTTCTTCTCCCCATGGCCCTGGGTTTGGGAAGAGTTCGGAAGGGGTGGCGATTGTGTGGCTGCAGAGAGGTCCTCTCCCTTTCCTGACTCCCATGGCTTAGAGGGTGTGTAGGAGGACCGCTGTGGAAAGAGTAACTCAACCTTTCCAGATGTGTCTGTGAATGAGATTTCAGGGGTGAGAATCGAAACGCAGCTGTGCTTCAGCATGGCAGAGGCCTTAGGACCCCCACGCAGGAAGAGACTCGGCCCATCTGGGGCTCTGAGTACAGGACATTAACAAAGACCAGGAGCACTTGCGAGTAGTCAGGCAGACACATCGAGATGGAAGTGCGCCCTCCTCTCTGCGCATCGCGCACCTCTCCAGGCCTGCTTCAGTTGACCAACTGATGCTAATTATGGTCCTGGCCTCCCAGGTCTCTGCTCCCCGTTTAACCTGGATGAGCATCACCCACGCCTGTTCACAGGGCCACCAGAGGCTGAATTTGGATACAGCGTCTTACAGCATGTTGGGGGTGGACAGCGATGGTGAGAAGGAACCAGAGGACCATGGGATTGGGACTGTGGTAGAACTGGTAGAGAGGGAGGCGGCAGATGGGTCTCTAAGTTGGTCTCTGAAAGTCCCTAGGACTCTAAACTTGCCACCTCCGTGCACTGTCCCTCTTGCCTATAGTAAGAGTCATGTTCACCTGATGCCTTTATCCATATTCCTCTCCCAGGATGCTGGTGGGCGCCCCTTGGGATGGGCCTTCAGGTGACCGGCGGGGAGATGTTTATCGCTGCTCTATAGGGGGATCCCACAGTGCCCCATGTGCCAAGGGTCACCTGGGTAAGATGTCTGACCCTTCCCTGCTAATCCCTGACTTTGACACCCAGAAACCGAGTCATCAGCTTCTTTGCTCCCATACCCTGCACAGCTCTTGCCTTCAACTTGATACGGACTCCTTTTCACTCTCTTCCCTAACTACCCTGAACTAAAGCGCCCAACCTTTGACCCCATGACTTCATTTTCTTCTACCCCTCCTCCAACCAGGTGACTATCCACTGGGAAATTCATCTCAGCCTGCTGTAAATATGCACCTGGGCATGTCCCTGCTGGAGACAGATGGTGATGGGGGATTCATGGTGAGCTAAAGGGTCTCAGAAGTTCAATGGCAGGGAAAAGAGCATTAAAACTAGTCTATACAGAAGAGTTATAGGAATGGGGGGAAAACCCTAGAGAACAAGATAGGGCGCCCATGGAGAGAGCTCAGTGTCTTTTTTAACTAGATGCATGTTCTCAGGGGCCCCTATCAGGCCTGGGAATAACTGTTTCCCCTGCCCTCCCAGGCCTGTGCCCCTCTCTGGTCACGTGCTTGCGGCAGCTCTATCTTCAGTTCCGGGATGTGTGCCCGTGTGGATGCTTCGTTCCAGCCCCAGGGAAGCCTGGCACCCACTGCCCAACGTGAGCCAGGCCTGAGAACTCAGTTCCCAGATGGGGGCGCTGGGTGGGAAAATGGGACCACGGCTTGGCAGAGGGCCTGCATGGCTGTCCTCATTCCCAGCTGTGCTTGAAGCGGGGTCTGCTGTTTGCTAACAGATTAGAATCCAGAATCCTTTCCAGAGCCTCAAGGAACCAGAAGCTGGCTTAATCAACTTAAAAAACCCAGCTTGTCCTCCCCACATCCTCAGCCATCATGCTTACATTTTTATTCCTCTGTGTGTTATTTCTTTTTGGACCTCTATTTTCCTTTGCTTATAATGTTCTCTACCCCAATGCATTTTCTCGGAACTTTCATTACCTTATTTTTGTGGATCTTACGCATGCCCAACGAGCACTCGGCCATTGAGTTCTCTTCCAGTCCTTCATATACCTTCTTCTTTGCCGTCTTTTAGGGGATAGCTTCATTATGTAGCCCAGGGTGCCCTTGAACTTGGGATTTGCCTGCCTCAGCTTCTCAAGTACCAGGATAATAGACATGTACTGTCACGGGTGGCCTCTGCTGCCTCTTTGGTTTACCACTATCAGAAATGACCCTCTGGGCTGGACCTGCCCCTTAGTGGCACATTGGTAGTGCATGAGCAGACCCCTTAGTTCAATTCCTACACACACATACCCATACAAAAGCGATGCTCCCTCAGTCTCCCATGTCATAGAGTAGTGCCTATTTCCTTCTCCACACTTCCCCATCTCTTCTTTCATCCATTTCTACACTTAGGCCTGGCATAGTCCTTTCCTTGCATGTAAGAAAGAAGTCCCTAATAAATGCTTACTTTGAAGCATGCTCCGGTGACATTTTCCCTTGTGGACTCCACCCCAGCATCCTTCCATGTCCTCATTTCCCATCACTATATTCCCCCTTCTAGGCTGTCCTACATACATGGATGTCGTCATTGTTTTGGATGGCTCCAATAGTATCTATCCCTGGTCCGAGGTCCAGACATTCCTTCGGAGGCTGGTAGGGAGGCTGTTTATTGATCCGGAGCAGATACAGGTAAGAGAAGGATGCATGGATGGGCTTGGAGTGAAAGAAATAAATACTCACGGTCCTTCAGTGTAATCCGGCATGTCCAACCTCTTGACATCACACCAGGACGCTGCCTTCCCATGCTCAAGAAGAATTGTGCAGTTAAGTTGCCAAAAAGTCACAAAAAGCTCCTAATGTTTGAAGTGAGTTTTTGGTTTTGTGTGGGCCGTACTCATAGCTGTCCTTTGCTCCATGTGGTTGCCTGGGTCCCACAGGCTGCAGCTGGGCGTGCCTGAGAGGTGTTCATTCCCTCCATCCTTTGTTCTCCATCCCCTACAAACATCCCGTTTGGGTACACAGTTTATTGTTTTCAGGTAGGACTGGTACAGTATGGGGAGAGCCCTGTGCACGAGTGGTCCCTGGGAGATTTCCGAACCAAGGAGGAAGTTGTGAGAGCAGCGAGAAACCTCAGTCGGCGGGAGGGGCGAGAAACGAGAACTGCCCACGCAATAATGGTGGCATGGTGAGGAATGGGGAAGAGGGTGTGGGGCATGAAGGACCGAGGGGCTGCGAGAGGGGCTGGGGTGTAGCGTGTACATCACAGGATGCTCTGTGTACTGATCTTTACCTTTGTGCCAGAAGCTCGTGGAGGAAGGCTTGGTCAGCTGCTGCGGTCGCTGCCTCTCCATTACTGTATTTTACCATGTCTGTGGCTGTATCTCTCCTTGTCTGTCTGATTCTGTGACCAGAACCCCATTTCTTTTCCTCTACTCCTGTGCCAATTCTGATGCTTGACTTTCAACCACTAATGCCCTGGCTTTCTTTCCAAACACAATCCTAAACTAACTTCTGGGGAGATTGCCTGACCTGAAGTGTCCATTCCCTTGATCTTGTCAACCCAAATGCAACGTTTGCTGAATAAATCTATGGATGAATAAAGTGTGTTCTTATTTCCACTGATGGTAACAGTGTAACATAACACTATATGTTATGTGACATTCAAGTGGTGGCTTTGTGCCAGTTTGCATGTTAGACACCGTTGGCCTGGAAGACACAGCATCTGACTTCAGTGAACTGCTGACAGTGTTAAATGCATTGTGTGTGTGTGTGTGTGTGTGTGTGTGTGTGTGTGTGTGTGTGTGTGACAGTGTGTGTGTGTGTGAGTGTGTGTGAGTGACAGTGTGTGTGAGTGACAGTGTGTGTGTGTACTCACATGCATGCTTGTTCGCATGACCGTATCTCGTTCTTTTCTCTTCTTAGCACAGAAGGGTTCAGTCAGTCCCGGGGGGGCAGACCTGAGGCTGCAAGGCTGCTGGTGGTTGTCACTGATGGAGAATCCCACGATGGAGAGGAGCTTCCAGCAGCACTAAAGGCCTGTGAGGCTGGGAAAGTAACACGTTACGGGATTGCGGTGAGACTTGACTCTGGCGCTTTTTGGTTTTGTTTTGTGTTGTGTGCGTGTTTGTATGATGTGTGTGCATGAGTGTATGCCCATAGCATGGTATGTATTTGCAGGTCAGAGAACAACCTCAGATGTTAGTCCTAACCTTCCACCTTGCTTGAAACTCTATACAATAAGTGAGGCTAGGTGGCCCACAGGCTTTGGGCAAGTCTTCCGACTCAGCTTCCTGTCTCCTGGTAGGGGCATGCTGGGATTGCAGATAGGCTTGCGCTACTGTGCCCAGCATTTTATGTGAGTCTGGGGATCTGAACTCAGGCTTGTGTGACAAGCACTGTACTCACTGAGTCATCTTCCCAGACCAAGAACCAACTCAATCTAGAAAGACAGATGTGGAAAGGTTTTCAGGATGTGAAACATAGAAAATAGTATTGGCTACTGCCTAGACATCAGTCATTATTCTCTTTTCTTTAGTTGGCTCTGCTCTGTATCAGTTCTAACAACTTACTTCAAGATACACCCCTATCTTGAACTCAGGTCCTTGGTCACTATCTCCGGCGACAGAGAGACCCCAGCTCTTTTCTTCGGGAAATCAGAGACATCGCTAGTGATCCAGATGAGCGATTCTTCTTCAACGTCACAGATGAGGCCGCACTGACAGACATTGTGGATGCACTGGGGGACCGAATTTTTGGTCTTGAAGGTAACGGTTATCCTGGTGAAATGGAAGACTGGGGTTAGGGGCATCCTAGACTGAGTTTGGTAGAACGAGCTCCCCTGAGAGTGCTTTGCAATTTTCGCATGCCTAAGGGTCCCGTGGAGAAAATGAAAGCTCCTTTGGACTAGAAATGTCTGAGATTGGCTTCTCCACGCACCGGTTGCAGGTTGGACAGACCCTGACCCTCCACAATATTCCCAAGCCCTTGATTTCTTTATAATCCTCTCCAGTCTCTGACTCAGATAACTTCAGTCCTAAAGCCCTTCCAAATTTCTCCTTTTACCCGCCTGCTTCCCGGCCTTCCTTGCTTTTCTGACCACAGTGGACTCTTAAGAGAGCACCTTACTCCTGGAGAGTACATTTTTCTCCTATTTCCCACTGTCTTCTCAGTGTCCTCATTTGGTTCTGCCCCTCAGGATGGGATTCTCTTTGGGATGGTGGGGGCCTATGACTGGGGGGGCTCAGTACTATGGCTTGAAGAAGGTCGCCGCCTTTTCCCCCCTCGAACGGCCCTGGAAGATGAGTTTCCCCCTGCATTGCAGAACCACGCAGCCTACTTGGGTAAGTAACAGAGCTGCAGGAGGGTGGGGGAGATCCGGTAGCGGATGTGAGGCACTCCCTCTTAACTGGGCAGTTTTCCCCTGGACTCTGAGAATTTGCCCACCCTCCACTCTCGTCTCATCCTCTTTCCCTTTTACGTCTGACCCCTACTCGCTTCTAGGTTACTCTGTTTCCTCCATGCTTCTGCCGGGGAGACGTCGCCTCTTTCTCTCGGGGGCACCGAGGTTTAGGCATCGAGGAAAAGTCATCGCCTTCCAGATAAAGAAAGATGGGGCTCTGAGGGTTTCCCAGAGCCTCCAGGGGGATCAGGTATGACCTCAAGGGAGGGTGGGACCCTGGGCTCCCCAAGACTTCCAGGCTGAAGGAGAAGAGTGAGAAGGGAAAGGGCGGAATCTGGTGGGCAGACTGTCAGGGACCTAAGGACCAGACTGGCAGAGTGGAGAGTGCTTCCTGCTGAGTCCAGCGGTCCTCAGTGACCTTCCCTTTTCTTTGGGGTCATCACCATCCCTCTACACCCAGATTGGCTCATACTTTGGCAGTGAGCTCTGCCCGTTGGATACAGACAGAGATGGGATAACTGATGTCTTACTTGTGGCGGCCCCCATGTTCCTGGGTCCCCAGAACAAAGAGACAGGACGTGTTTATGTGTATGTGGTAGGCCAGGTAAGAATTGATGGGACCCCCTAGGATGTGTGTGGGGTGATGGGGGGAGGAAGGGAAGAGAGAGAGACACATCTATTTGAGAGCTTGCTAAGGGGTGAGGGTCACCAGATAAGCAACTCCTTCTGTCTCCTCACCACTACAAGCAAATTTTGCTGATGCTCCAAGGAACTCTTCAGCCAGAACGCTCCCAGGACTCTCGATTTGGCTTTGCCATGGCTGCTCTTCCTGATCTGAACCAAGATGGTTTCGCTGACGTGGCTGTGGGAGCACCCCTGGAGGATGGGCACCAGGGAGCACTATACCTGTATCATGGAACTCAGAATGGAATCAGGCCCCATCCCACCCAGGTGAGCAGTGCTGGAATAAAAAAGTGTGGTTCCGTGTGCCTTTCAATCCAGAAGGCGCATCTCTGTGAGTTCAAGGCCAACCTGGTGCACATAGGGAATTCCAGGCTAGCCAGGACTACATGGTAAGATGCTGTCTCAAAAACAAGACGGAAACGGACAGTTGAAAATGGGGCACAGTGGTAGAAATGAAAGGGAGTTATTTTCTTTGCTTATTTATCATCCACTTGGCGTAAGAGTCAAACCACGTCAGCGCCTTATTTATAGGTTGAAAAGTGAGATGGTGAATGAGGGATTCCCAAGAGAAGCAATTTTTCTTATTCTCTTGATGGATGGAAATGCTAGAAATAACCTGGCCTGGGCGTTGGTGGCTCACGCCTTTAATCCCAGCACTTGGGAGGCAGAGGCAGGAGGATCTCTGTGAGTTTGAAGCCAGCCTGGTCTACAGAGCGAGTGCCAGGATAGGCTCCAAAGCTACACAGAGAAACCCTGTATCAGAAAGAATAAAAAGGAAGAAAGGAAAGAAGGAAGGAAGGAAGGATGGAGCTGCAGAAGAAGCAGGTGCGAGCCCCTCCTCAGTCTTTCTCCTCCTCCTCTCAGCGGATCGCTGCTGTGTCCATGCCACAGACCCTCCGCTACTTTGGCCGAAGCGTGGATGGCCGGTTAGATCTGGACGGAGATGATCTTGTAGATGTTGCTGTGGGTGCCCATGGAGCAGCCATCCTGCTCAGGTGAGGGATTCAGCTTGGGTAGCAGTGAGCTGTAAGAACAAGGTCACAGATTTAGATTTGCGTTTCTTGGCCAGCTACTCTGATGCCCAAATTCCTAGTTCATAGAATGAAAGTAACTGTCACTGTCTTACTGGTTTAGTGTAGATATCAAACAAGATAATCCACATAAAGATTTTTAGTAGTGCTTATTTATTTTTATTTATTTTATGTGTATGGCTGTTTTGCACGGTGTCTGTGCACTGTGTATATGTGCAGTGCCTGCGGAGACCAAAAGAGGAACTGGAGTTTTGTAGCTGGCCTTGACCTGCCTTGTGGGTGCTGGAAGTCAAACCTGGGCCCTCTGGAAGAGCACCCAGTGCTTTTAACCACGGAGCCATCTCTCCAGTGTGACATTTGTGCTTGTCAAATCGAATGTATTGTTGTGTGACTTCTGTCATAGGCTTCTGGGAAGGGTGACATATTCAGACCTTACCTTTTTCACGTGGGGAAGCAAGTACTAAGGCTGCAGCTCCTGTCTTTTTCTTTGCTTCTGGTTCTGAAGTGCAAGCTCAGGTCCTTGAGAGCTCTACCACTGGCTGCACCCCCAGTCTAGGGCTGTCTTGGGGGTGGGGTGGGGTGGGGGTGGGGCTTACCTACCCCTTTTAGCATTTCGTTCCCACCTTACTCCCAGCTCCCAGCCCATCATCCACATGCTTCCAACCCTGGATGTGGCACCACCGCACATCAGCGTGGTTCAGAAGGACTGTAGGCGAAGAGGCCAGGAGGCCGCCTGCCTGACGGCAACCCTGTGCTTCCAAGTGACCTCTCACACTCCCGGGCGCTGGGATCGCAGGTTCTGTGAGTGACTGCAGAGTATCCAAGGCAGCTCTCAAGCCCACCCGATGTCTGCATCTGCCTCCTGTCTCACACTGGCCTCTCCCTTCAGATATACGGTTCTCAGCATCTCTGGACGAGTGGACAGCTGGGGCTCGTGCGGCGTTTGATGGCTCTGGCCAGCGGCTGTCCCCTCGGCAGCTCCAGCTCAGCGTAGGGAATGTCACTTGTGAACGGCTGAACTTCCACGTGCTGGTGAGGACGGGGCAGGCACTGCTTTGCATCAGGCCTGAGAGTGAGGGGAAACCTGGGTCCCAGGGAGTTTCAGTCAGATCAGCAACAAAACTGAAGTAGAGAGATTGAGACCATTCACATTCTGGGGTCAGGGTGATAACCCTGGCTCTATAGTTTGTCACTATGAACCCTTGCCAAGTCACTTGGCTGCCACATCTCGGTGTCCTTGACTGGAAGGGATGGTATATACTGATAGCTGTATCAAAGGAGTTGTATCATACTGTGACAACCTTGGGACAGTGCCCAGGACACAGAAAGTGCTTCATGGATGATCACACTTAATGTATTCTGCAGAGGCCTGGTGTCTGCTCTGATCCTGGTTCCCTGGGATCTGTTCTTCTCTGCTTCCCCATAGGATACATCGGATTACCTCCGGCCAGTGGCCCTGACTGTGACCTTTGCCTTGGACAACACCACAAAGCCAGGGCCTGTGCTGGATGAGGGATCGTCCACTTCTGTACGAAAGCTGGTGAGCAGTGCCGTGTCCTGCTCTGTCTAGGGTCCTGGGCTGCCCTCCCAGTATACTTAAAAGAAGGGGGTGTCACATACAAATGGTGAAATCTGATCCAGGCTCTGGTGATAAAAATATACCCTCTCTTCTCCTCACTTTTCCCCAATTCCAGTCCTTTCTCCCAGCCCTCAGACCATTAACTCTCTTCTAGGTCCCCTTCTCAAAAGACTGTGGCCCTGATGATGAATGTATCACAGACCTGGTGCTTCAAGCTGACATGGACATCAGGGGCTCCAGGTTAGACAGAGATAAGCTAGGCAAACCAGAAGGGCCTCCAGGGAGCTAGAGAGTTGTTTTGTTTTTGAGACAGGTTCTCCCTATGTAGTCCTGGCTGGCCTGGAGCTTGCTGTGTATACCAGGCTGGCCTGGAGCTTGCTATGTAGACCAGGCTGGCCTTGACTTCACAGAGAGTCACCAGCTTCCACCTCACAAGTGCTGGAATTAAGAACATGTGCCACCATGTTGGAAGTAAAACTTCTGACTTTCTTTTACCTCTTAGTGTTTCCTTTGTCTCCCATTCTTAGGAAGTCCCCATTTGTGGTTCACGGTGGCAGACAGAAACTGCTGGTGACAGCAACCCTGGAGAACAAGAAGGAAAATGCCTACAACACTAGCCTGAGTCTCAGGTTCTCTAGAAACCTCCACCTGGCCAGTCTTACTCCTCAGGTACTCTTGGGGGAAGGGCCACGGGCAAAGGAGATGAAGGAGGAGGAGGAGGAGGAGGAGGACTTCAGCACTGGCTATGGGATGCTCTGGAGAAAGGATCAGTGTTAGCATCTCAGGGAGTGGAAGAGCAGCCCCAACCCCAGCTCTGACTGCCATCTCCATCCCTCTGCCTTCAGAGGGCCAAGTCAGTGAAGGTGGAATGTGCAGTGCCTTCCTCACATGCCCGGGAATGCATCGTGGGCCACCCAGTCTTCCAGGCTGGGGCCAAGGTGAGTGTGGGCCCACAGTGAGGAAAAGTTGCGGTGTGTGGCCGTGCGCATGCACGCGCGCGTGTGCGTGTGCGTGTGTGTGTGCGCGCGCGCGCGCTGTGGTGGTGGTGAAAGTTCAGGCATCATACTAGCCTGCCCCTCTCACCTGGCAGAATGCACTCAGGCAGCACTCAGGCCAGACCCGAGTTCCAGGAGTACAGCCTGCATGCAGGTGCAAAGGACCCCGCCCACTCACACTCTCTTACACTCTCTACAATGTCAATTCTCTTACCCCTTCTTCTCTCTACCCCCCCTCTCTCTCATGTCTGTCTCTCCCGCTCTCGCTCTCCCGCCGCAGTAATAAACTATGGCTCCATCGCACCGGTCCCCGGTTCTGTCTTGTGGCCTTTATGCCTTTTCGCCTTCTTCTAATTTTAAACTTTTACAAAAGAACAGCAGGGGTGGGGGCAGGACTGGGGTCCATGGGGCGTGAAGCTCTGGGGGGAGGGGTGGACATGGTTCTTTTCCTCTGTGGGCTTTTCCACAAGGAACAATTTATCATTATTCCGTCCACGTCCTTTGCCCCCAGGTGACCTTTCTGTTAGAGTTTGAATTTAGCTGCACCTTCCTCCTGGGCCAGGTCTCGGTGAGGCTGACTGCCAGCAGGTGAGAACAAAGGCGCTTCCTCTAGCCCTCTCCACCCCTTTCAGGGGTCTTGACTGAAAGTCAGAGAAGTGGGCGGCTAGCAGTAGAGAGGGTCGATCACTGGGGAGGCCTGGAATGTGCAGCTCTCCCCCTTGACCCTACAGCAGCAGCCTGGAGAGAAATGAAACCCTTCAAGACAATACAGTTCAGACCTCCGCGTTCATCCGATACGAGCCTCACCTCATGTTCTCTAGGTATGGCTGGGCTCCCTGGCTGCCCCCACCCCCCCTGCGCACCTCCGGCTGGGACCTGCACTGTCCGGACACACATCCTTTGAATCTCCTCCCTGTCCTTCCTAAGCGTCAGTGTTCCCAGGAGCACAACTCACAACTCCTTGGGCTGCTCAGTCGTTTGGTCCTCACCCCCACTTGTCCCTTAACCTTTGCTCTTAAGCACCTTGCTTTCCTGAGCCTTGTCAGGTCCTGAGCATTGGAACTAGGATAACTAGATATGGGGATACAGCCATAATTTTTTAAAATCAAGTTTGTGTTATATTCAATTTCCTTCTTGGTCACAAGTCCCTATCTCATTATCCATGTGTTGACCCTGCCTTCCTGAAATCCATGTTTGTATGCTGGTCATGTGTTCTGTGTCGTTGTCATGGGACTTTACACCTCTTGGCCTGGTGTGGGACTTTACACCTCTTGGCCTGGTGCCTACACAGCGAGTCCACTCTGCATCGATACGAGGTTCACCCTTACAGGACTCTCCCAGTGGGTCCTGGCCCTGAATTCAAAACCACTCTTCGGGTGAGAAGCTGGCGGTTGTGGTGGGGTCTTGGCATGCTAGGGGTGGGCTGGGGGAAGAGGAGAGGATAAGAAGAGTGTCCTTGAGTGGATGAAGGGGAGGAGATGAAGCAGGCCCGCTGTTTCTTGCCTCTTCCCCATTTAAATTCCGCTCCCAGGTTCAGAACCTTGGCTGTCACATGGTCAGTGGCCTCATCATCTCAGCCCTCCTTCCGGCTGCAGCCCACGGGGGCAATTACTTCCTGTCACTCTCTCAAGTCATCGCCAGCAATGTGAGTCTGGGCTGGAGCCGGTGGAACCCTGCAATCTCTTAACTAGTGGAGTCCTATCTGCGGGCCCACGGCTCTGGGAGCTCCTCTTCCTGGGGCTTGGGAGGAAGGAGAGGGATCACGCACAGGAGGGTTACAGGAGTGGCTGGTCTTCCTTTAGGCAAGCTGCACAGTGCAGAACCTGACCGAGCCCCCAGGATCCGCTGTGCACCCAGAGGAGCTACAGCACACAGACCGACTGGTGGGAGTCCCTGGACGGTGTCTGGGTGGGAAGTGGAGATGGGACCGCTCTGGGGTCCTGATTTGTCTCTCTTTGGATAGAACGGGAGCAACACTCGGTGTCAGGTTGTGAGGTGTCACCTTGGACAGCTGGCAAAGGGGACTGAGATCTCTGTTGGACTGCTGAGGCTGGTTCACAATGAATTCTTCCGGAGGGTAAATCTTTCATTTTCTTCCTTTCTGCTTCTGTCAGAAACACGAACATGAGGTTGTCAGGTAGATAGGCTGTTCAAGTTCAGCCTGTCTCTGTTTGACCATAACCAAGTGATTTCATCTCTCTAATCGTTCTTCCTGACCTTTTTTCGTTGTTTGGGTTTGTTTTTGTTTTGTTTTGTTTGTTTGTTTGATACAGGGTTTCTCCGTGTAGCCCTGGCTGTCCTGGAGCTCACTCTGTAGACCAGGCAGGCTTTGAACTCACAGAGATTCACCTGCCTCTGCCTCCCAAGCTCTGGGATTAAAGGTGTGTGCCAGCATGCCTGTCTTTTTTCCTGGTTTTAAAATGAGAACAGTGATTCCCAGCTTGTGGAATTGTTATGAGGTAATGAGATGGACACATGGAGAGCCCTTGGTATGACATAGCAACCACCTTATGGTTACCTCTACTTAGCATCCCTTAGTTCCATCATAGGAATCAATTAATAGAACGCCCACATGTAATCATTAATTCATCAGACTAGGTGTGGTGATGTACATCCTAATCTCAGCAGACACAGAGGCAGATGGATCTCTATGAGTTCAAAGTTCACGGCTAGCCTGGTCTATATAGCAAGCCCCATGCTAGCCAGACATGAGCACACAAACATTCACATTCACATTGCCTGTTATAGACATGATTCTGTGTGAAGTCAACAGTGGGGAGGATAAGACCAACTCATTGCAGGTGTTCAATACTTTTTTTGTTAAACAAATGAATACAATAATTGTTTTTATTTGCAGGATTTTATGGGACAGTGGAAAGTAAAACTGCACAGTTGAGAGGGATCTAGATTATGAGAGACTCTGAAGCTGGGGAGATGAAATTGAATTTATTATGACAGTTGGCACACAGAAGTCAGTGTGAGCAGGGAACTGGCGTCTTAATTGTAAATGTCTATTTAGCACTAAGTGTTTATATTGTTTAATATAATACATGTAACTGCTACCTTCAATATTGCAAGATCTCCGGGCTATCAGCACAGGTGAATTAAGTCTGACGAATCGTTCCTCTCCATGACTGGTACTCTCTCTAGCTGTCTTGGTCATTTGTCTGATTCAGCTGTGTGTGTGCGTGTGTGTGTGTGTGTGTGTGTGTGTGTGTGTGTGTGTGTGTGTGTGACTGAGGATTGTATCAGTGGCCTCCAGGATGTGATGTAAGCATTCTACCACTGATAACCCCTGGACATTTTTATTATTTTTAATTTTTTCAAGATTTATTTTTATGTGTGCATGTGTGTCTATATGTAAGTGTGTGCACTTGTGCGTGAGTGCTCACAGAGAAGGCATTAGGTGCCCTGGAGCTGGAGTTACAAGCAGTTACCTGGGTCCTGGGACTGAACTCTGGTCTTCTTTGAGAGCAGCAAACACTTGCTGGCTCACCCATCCCCCCTCCATCTCCAGGATTTCAGTGAGTTGCTCCAGTTAGTCTTGACCTGATTCAGTCTCCTGAGTGGTATACACCCTCCTGAGTGCTGGGTTACAGGTGTACACCCTCCTGAGTGCTGGGTTACAGGTGTACACCCTCCTGAGTGCTGGGGTTACAGGTGTACACCCTCCTGAGTGCTGGGTTACAGGTGTACACCCTCCTGAGTGCTGGGTTACAGGTGTACGCTCTCCTGAGTGCTGGGGTTACAGGTGTAGCCCTCCTGCTGAGGGCATAGGCCACCATACTGGCTTATTTACTGTAATAGCAAACCCTTGTTAAGAAGCCACTAGAGGGCTGGGGGGTAACTCAGTAGGTACAGCATGAAGACTTGAGTTCAGAACCCAGGACCCACATGAGCTTCAGGGCCCTGGTAACTGCCATGGAGCTTCCACGTTGCTCTTGGAATTCCTTACCACCAGATGATGGCTCAGTTGAAATGTTTCCCATCTGCTTGGATGCAGTGACATGTGCTTGTAGTCCCAACGATGGTGACATAGGAGAGTGATTTAGGTGCACCCCTGGGAGCTTACTGGTCCCCTAGTCTTGCTTAGCAGACAACGTTAAAACACGCACACACACACACACACACATCCCAGCACTTGGTGCAGAGACAAGCTGATCTCTGTGAGTTCAAGGACAGCCTGATCTACATAGTGAGTTCAAGGTCAGTCAGCCAGGTTTATACAGTAAGAACCTGTCTTTAAAAAAAAAGTGTCAAGCCAATGAGAGTCCTTGTCTTAAACAGAAGGACAACAGGTAGAAAGTTATCTAATAACAACACCCAAGATTGTTATCTTGACCTCCACACCTGCACACACTCACACACCTGAACACACACTCACACATCTGCATGCACATATATGCCTGCACACACACCTTGCACACACATGCACACACTTGTTCACACACACACTCACACACGTACACCACCATACATTTGTCATAGACCCTGGCAGCACAAAGGCTGATCACACATGGTCCTTGACCTCAGGTATCTTTTAGGCCAGTGGATAAAGACAAAGGTGTAAACTCCAGGTGTGTTCGGCTCAGGGACACCTGTGCTCTTCTCAGCTCAGCTTTGGAAAGGGTCCCTGTTGTGCCTGGCCTTACTCGCTCTTCTTTCAAAGCCACCAGGATTCAGTCACGAGGCTCCACTGAATGACTCTCATCCTAAGCACTTCCCAAAGGCCCACTGCTAAACACAACAGTTGGATAAAGTTTCTTCCTCTTAATATCTTGCAGCAGACACCAAGATTGGGCACATGGAGGCTTAAGGACACTCGACCCATACTGGGATCCTACTAGCAGGGTTAGTGGGGGTTGCTAGGAAACACATCTCTAGTTTCAGAGGAGAAGGTTTCAGCCCCACGGAAGTCCATGGAAGGGAAGGGGAGTTGGACATCATTGTGAACAGTGTATTTTCAGAGCAGGCTTGCTGTTTCCCTTCCTCTTTTTTCCTATCGATTCCTATCATCTTCTGGGCTTCAGGGCCCTGGTAACTGCCACGGAGCTTCCACGTTGCTCTTGGAATTCCTTACCACCAGGCGATGGCTCAGCTGAAATGTTTCCCCATCTGCTTGTTCCACAGGCCAAGTTCAAGTCACTGACAGTGGTCAGCACCTTCAAGTTAGGAACCGAGAACGGCAGTGTCCTACAACTGGCAGAAGCCTCCTCCCGGAGTGAGGTAGGACCGGAGCTGGGGAAATAGTGGCGACCGGATGGGTAAAGGATGGATGGCCTTTTTCTTTTTTTAATTTAGTTTTAAAAAATTATGTGTATCAATGCTTTGCCTGCATGTGAATGTACCATGTGAGAGGAGGTCAGAAGAAGGCGTTGGATTCCCCCAAAACAGAGATGGTTTTGAGCAGCCATGTGGGTATTGGGTACCAAATCTGGATACTTTGCAAAAACAAGTGCTTTTAACTACCGAGCCATCTCTCCGGCTCCACAGTGGGATTTTTCAGAACAAAACTGTAGCCATTAGGCAGCAGTCCACCAATCAGAAGCGGCAGGTCTACTGCCCTGCTCCTTGCTTCAGGGTTTTTAAGTAGAAAGAGGTTTCTGTTGTTTTGTTTTGTTCTCTGTCTGGGAGCTGGCTTTGTTATAATGTTGTGTGTTAAAGGACACATATAAAACGCAAGTCAGGTGTGGTGATGCATGCCTGTAATTCTAGCACTGGGAGGCTGAGAGAGAAGGCTTGCCATGAGTTGAAGGGCCGTCTGGGACACACAACAAAACTCTGCTTCAAAAACCAAACAAACAAAGCCACAGAAACCTGCCTCAAAAGCAAAGCATGGCAAATCAAACCAAAACAAACCCAAACAAAGTCTCCTTGGTATGCAGAGCCTGCTGGAGGTGATTCGGAGACGCACTGCCCTCATCTCCCTGTGGGTCCTCGTGGGCAGTGTCCTGGGAGGGCTGCTCCTGCTTGCTCTCCTGGTCGTCTGCCTGTGGAAGGTGAGCCCAGCGCTTGTGGGTGGCAGGGAGCAGCGTGCCCACAACCCGAAGCATCTCACTGTCAAGGATGGGCTCTGCGTTAGGCAGTTAGCAGGCTGGGGAGGCGAGGGTCATGCTTGGGTCTCCTACACTCTGTTCATCCCACAAATGTTGCTTGGGTTGAACTAAGCCAAAGAAAGTAAATTTGAATCCATTTTTGGGAGCAGAACAAACGCGAAACCTCAGATAAACTGGAGGGCTATTAGCAAGGCCCCTGTCAGGGCATCTGGCAGTGACTCGAGTCTTTCCCTCCACAGCTTGGCTTCTTTTCACGTAAGAAAATCCCCAAGGAAGAACAGGCTGATGAGAAGCTGGAGCAGCGCAAGTAGGAGGAGGCTCAGAAAGCCCTCTTTGGCAGCCTTTTCAAAGAGTCTCCTGTCCAAAAACAAGGCTGGGGGCCAAGGGGGAAAAGATGCTTCTGGAATATGGCTCCAGAGCTGCAGCCTGACTTGACTTTTGAGCCAGGGGCACACAGCTGGCAAGAGGTGAGGCTTTGCCTCAGACACGAAGGGCTGGCACAAAAACGTAACGGTCCCACCCCGTACTTTCCTCCTCGCTCTGACGGGTTCCACAGCCAACATTGGGTCTTTGTTTGGAGCCCTATCCCCCATTACCAGGGGCCAAAAGATTTTTCTCCTGACTCCTTTCAGATTCCCTTTGTCCTCCCTCACGATTCCAAAAAGAAGGTTCGCCTCCCCACTCCCTCCCCCACGTACGCACACACGCTCACCTTCCTGCCTGCTCCCCACTCTGCAGGAGAGAGCTGACGTTGACTTAAAAGAAGTAAAGTCAACATCTGCTGCTTTCCTGTGGAGTCCAGTGATTCATAGAGCCGGATGGGGAGAGTCAACAGGAAAAGAGGGAGGAGAAAAAGCCACAAGAGACATTCTGTGCAATTCCAAGGCACAGAGAAACGTTCAGACAGGCAACTGCCAGCCGCTCTGAAACCTGAGACTTCACAGGACGCCAGCCCTCAGGTGCTGGGGAAACCCAGCTGGCCCCGGGCTTTCTGGGCTCGGGCGTCCCAACCCTCGTCGTCCTTTGGTGCTGAATTTTCTGGAGCCAGGAGCCTCCTGGTGGTTCAAGCTGGAATAGCAGGGAAGCGCATTTGGCAGTTTTCTCCACTTAGTCTTTGAGGCTTCCTTAAAGAAAGCTACTGGATGGAGGAAAGCCCTTCCACCACAGCAGCTTTGGGGAACAGCAGCCACGCCCCGAGATCCGAACAAGGGAAATCTGCATCAGGAGGCCTGAGTGGTTGGCTTGTGGTCTCTGGGGAGTAAGCTCCTACGTGTGCAGCGTCGCCTGGCTCTGCAGCAGTAATCTTCCCGGAAGATGTTTCTGGGACCCCACTTGTGTGTTGTGGGTTTCTCTGCTGGAGTGAGTTTTTCAACCCTTACTTGATGTTTACTGGAAATTTCAAGTTAACTCTGAATTCCCTCCCTCTTGTCCTATGTTTTGGTTCATGGGCGACTCACAGTAACTGGCTGGGAAACTTTCTATTATTGTAATTAAGACTTTGATTTGAGAAGAGAGAAGATCTGATTGGGCAGCTGCCACAGAACCTGTCTTCCCAGGCTGTTCCAGCGGCCTGTCTGCAGTTTATTTTGGAGTCTTCCGCAGAGCCTCTCTCCTGGGTGCTGTCGTTTCTATCACGGTGATCGGATGGTCAGAACAAATAAAATCCAGTATCAAATACTTCTGGGGGCTGGAGAGGTGGCTCTGTGGTTAAGAACACTGGCTGCTCTTCCAGAGGACCCAGCAACCACATGGTGGCTCACAACCATCTGTAATAAGATCTGGTGCCCTCTTCTGGCTTACAGGGATACATGCAGACAGAACATGGTATACATAATAAAATAAATCTTTAAAAAAAAAAAAAGAATATTCTTCGAATGACTTCAGGCTCTGTTTGAGTTTCCTAGGTTTTAGACTGCTCAGAAACGAAAGTATTGCAAATGTTTTCTGTGACTCTTCCACAGGCGATCCCATCTACTGTCCTGCAATTCTTACCTACTTATAGGACCGTATAAAGTATTCTGGGAACACTGAACCCAGATCTCTCTCTTTCTCCCTCTCTCCTTCCCCCGCCCCCCAGGGTTTTTCTGTGTAACAGCTCTGGCTGTCCTGGAACTCACTCTGTAGACCAGGCTGGCCTTGAACTCAGAGATCCGCCTGCCTCCCAGTGCTGGGATTGAAGGCCAGTCAGTGCCACCATGCTCAGGTCTTTCATTTGTGCTGTATCTTCTTGAACAAGTCTGAATTTCTCATAGATTTTGTGGTACAGGATTAGGAATAAAGGCAGATTTGGGTGTATAGGTCACCCTGTTTCAAATGCATATGACCCGGGACAGATTTAACTTGTGTTAGCTTTCTCATGTTTAAACTAGAGGTTCCAAGAACTAAATGGGACATTCCAGGAAAAGTGAACATGTAGTAAAAGCTTAATAAATCATAGTCATAATTACAAAAATGTTTTGTTATAAAATAGTCTATCCAGCCAATGTGCCATGCGGACTAAGCAGGAGGTATACTGAAGTATCTAGTGGTTCCCGCCCCAGTTTGGATCCTCTTCATGCTGTTAGCTCCCTCCACTAATCCCTACCTGAGCCTCAGGCCCTTTGAAGCTTCTGTAGTGTTAATTGACTGCTGGTTAACTCAGGGTTCTGATGGTAAAAGTCAAAAGTACTTGGTTTGCTTAAATACCTGGGTGGTTTTTGTTTTGTTTCGTTTTTGAGTTTTTGGGGGTTTTTGTTTGCTTGGTTTTTGTTTGTTTGTTTGTTTGTTTATGGTTTTTCGAGACAGGGTTTCTCTGTGTTATTTTGGAGTCTGTCCTGGAACTGGCTGTGTAGACCAGGCTGGTCTCAAATTCACAGAGATCCTCCTGCCTGTGCCTCCCTAGTTCTGGGACTAAAGGTGTGCGCCACCCACACCTGGCTATGTTTGGGTTTTTTTGGCTCTTGTTTATCTGTGTATTGCTGTGGTGACGGCTTCGAGAAGGGGTCTCCTGTAGTCCAAGCTAGCCTGAACTTGTGTAGTCAATGCTACCCTTGGATTCCTGATCCTCTTGCATCCACTTTCCAAATGCTGGGATTATAGGTGTGTACCACCACCCCCGGCTTTTTCTAGGTAACTCTTAGGACACCCAGGGTGAGGTGGGATGGCCTTCTGCACGCTGTGAATATATGTTGTTCCCATTGGTTGATAATTAAAGCTGCTTTGGCCTATGGCAAGACAGAATATAGCTTGGCAGGAAATCCAAACAGATAAACAGGAGAAGAGAAGGGTGTAACACAAAAAATAAAAGATCCAGAGGCTGATCCTGGGGTTCAAACTTCAAGCTGAATACCAGAAAAGCACAGCAGCTGCCACTAGCTCTCACTTCTAGCTCAGGCTGCAAGTGCTGATCTGCACACGGGCTTTTCACTGAAAGGGGTAAACTAAATAAAGGGACCAGACCCTCCCTCAGCCCCTGCTTAGGCAGCCAGGACAGGCTACAGAAAAGACAGGGCCAAAACTGAGCACAAAAAAACTCCAGACCACCACCTGCCCCCAGCCTTCTAGATACTGGGTTCCTGGGAACTGTTTGGTCACAAAAGAAATTCCAGGGGGACCAAAACCTCCCCTATAGTCTCCAGGATATAGTTCTGAAAACTATTGGCATCTATGTACTACCTGCAAGTAACAAGACAATGTCATAGAAACTACAGAATGTTCCCTCTCAGCACTAACCAATGAAAATAATTGGTACACAGGTATTTCATGCCAAAATACTCCTAATTGTTCCCAAATGTCAACCAATCAGAAACCATCTCATATCTACTGATGTAATCCTGTAACTTTTGTCTTTATTTATTTTTTATTTTTTTATTTTTTGGTTTTACAAGACAGGGTTTCTCTGTATTGTTTTCGAGGCTGTCGGTCCAGCTTGGCCTCGAACTCACAGAGATCCGCCTGCCTCTGCCTCCCGAGTGCTGGGATTAAAGGTGTGCGCCACCATCGCCCGGCAACTTTTGTCTTTAAATCTAGCAGTAGACAGGGAACTTTACTCCCTCTGGAGGCTGCTGCATCAGCTTGCTAGATAGGGTCCCTGTTATGGGTGGATGAACAATTAAAACCTTGCTTTTGCAGTTTGGTGGGTCCTGTCTTCCTGGTGGTCTCTGGGGACTTTGCAACTTGGGCACAACATTCACCAAGTCTCAGTGTGGCTGGAGAACAAATGCTTCATCTGAGACCTTGCTTCTGTCTGATATACCTCCCTAATGTTGGGATTAAAGGTGTGAGCTATAATTCTCTTTTACACTGATTCACTCTTGTATAGCTCTGGGTGGCCTTGGGCTCACAGAGATCTGTGTCTCTTAATCCCGAGTTCTAGGACTAAAGGTGTATACCACTACCTCCTCATTTCTGGCTGCTGGGATTAAAGGTGCATGCCTGACTTCTGTGACTTGTGTCTGACTTTGATTTTCTGAATCCTCAACAAGCTTTAACAAATCATAAATAATATATCACTACAGAGGTATCAAGAATCAAGCCAGCCACCCAAGAAGAGAGATGCCAGCATCAGCCTAAGGAGAAAGATTCCAGACCAGAGGTACCACAGCCACATGTCCATACACAAATTAGTAGAAATGGGTTAATTTTTATGTAGAGATAGTAAGAAGCCTGAGCCATCGGCCAAACAATTATAATTAATATTAAGCCTTAGAATGATTATTTAATAATTGGTGGTGGGGACCAGTGAGCAGGAGAGAAACCTGTCCAGTGTTCTTGTATCCCCAGTGAGCATGCACACCGAATCAGTTGCTTTCTAGAGATGATGATTTTCGCCTCTGTTCCCTATTCCTGAGAATGGAAACCTGTCAGGCAAGGACATCACCGTTTCAAACTGCCCAGTGGTTTAGTGATAGAAAGTGGCCCAAAGCAATTCCTCTTTGTACTTCATGTGAGCTATTATGTCTGGAACATGGACCAAAGCCATACTTACATTGAAAACATTCCTCAGGGATGGAGAGATGGCCCAGTGTTAAGAGCACTTGCTTTGGGCTGGGTGGTGGTGCACACCTTTAATCCCAGTTTGTGGGAGGTGGAGGCAGGAGGATCTCTGTGAGTTTGAGGCCAGCCTGGTTTATAAAGTGAGTTTCAGGACATCCAGGGCTGTTACACAGAGAAACCCTGTCTCAGAAAAACAAACAAACAAACAAACAAAAAAATATGTGCTGCTGTTGTAGAGGATCTGGGTTTGTTTCCCAGAACCCACGTGGTGACTCACGGCCATCCTAACTTCAATTCCAGGGAATCCAAAGATTTCTTCTGACTTCTGCTGGCACCAGGCATGCACCTGGTACACATACATACATACATATATACATACATACATGGAAACAAAACACTCATACACATAAAATAAATAATTTTTAAAAACTTTGAGAGAGAGAGAGAGAATGTCACCTCTTTACTCACAATGAGTCTCTAAAGGGAAATGGGTGTTATTGAAGGCTGGTTTGTCTCTATTTTGGGGGACGGTTATTTGTATTTTTTTATTTATCTATATATGTGTTTGTCTATGTGAGTGTATGCTACATGTGTGCTAGTACCTTCAAAGGCCAGAAGAGGGCACTGGAGACCCTGGAGCTAGAGTTACAGGTGCTGTAAGCAGCCCAGCATGGGTGCTGGGGAACAAACCGGGGTCATTGTGATGGCTGTTCTCGGAGGTCAACTAGACTATGCCTGAAGCCAACTACGGTGCAGAAATGGAGGGCACACTTGTGATCTGGACCTTGAGGCAGGAAGACACAGGCTTTGATCCAGATGTTGAGGCTGGTTGACACACTCCTTTAATTCGGATCTTGAGGCTCTGAGAAGGTGCACCTTGAATCTGGGCCACACTCTCTGCTGGAAGCATACATAAGGACAATGGAAGAAGGAAAGGCCCATTTGTTCTTCACCTGCCTGCCCTCGTCTTGTCAACACATCCATTCCTTCACTGGCATCGGAGCCTACTCCTTCAGGGTCCCGGCAGGTATAGAAGACCAGCTAAGACACCCATCCTCGTGGGTGAACAACTGGATTCTTGAACTTTCCATTCACAGCTAGCCATTTTTGGATGGTGGCCTGTAAGTCATTCCAATAAATCCAAGTATGTATTATGTATGTGTGTATGTATGAATGAATAAACCTATGAGAGAGAGAGAGAGAGAGAGAGAGAGAGAGAGAGAGAGAGAGAGAGAGAGAGAGAGAGAGAGAGAGAGCGCTTCATTCTGTAAGGCCTGTGTCTCTGGAGAACCCTGACTAATACAGTCATCTGGGAGAGCAGGAAGTCGTCTTGACTGCTGACTCCCTCCAGCCCCTTTTTCTTCATCCATGTGATAAAAGAACACTCTGGGGCTAGCAGGTGGCTTAGCAGGTAAAGGGGCCGCATGAGTTTGATCCCCAGGATGCATTGCCCCCAGGTTGCAGAGGGAGGGAGGGAGGGAGGAGTAAGCCCCTGCAAGTTGTCCTCTGATCCCCACCACCCTGCCAGGGCAGCAGCCCCCACATACATGCGCATGTACACGGAAATACAGAAATGTGATCATTTTTTTAAAGAAAACTTTTATTTTCCCTTTGTTTCAAAAGCTTTAACCTTCTGGCTAATATCAAACGTATTGAGTCCTCCTATCAAGGACGCATCTGCTTCCTCTGCACCCTGAGCTCTAGAGTAGGGCTTTCTCTAACTGCAACCTATTCCTCCGAAAGCCCATTAGTCTTTTGAAGCAAAACCAGTGCCGAAGCAACGGTAGAAGCAATGGTCTCTTCTACACTAGACTGTTCCTTTCTTGTTACTCTTTGGTCATTCATTCATTCACTCACTCACTAACTCATTCATTAATTCATTCATTCATTTACTTAACAGACATTAAAGACCTAAAATGTACCAAGCAAGGGGACTAACCAAAAAAAACAAAAAAAAAAACCAAAAAAAAACAACAACAACCGCTGCCATCAGAGGACCTGATAGGAACATCAAAGAAGTAACCCCACAACCGGCTAAAGACCTCATCACAGACAGGTAAAAGGGACCGTTGGGGACAGAAGCTTGTGGAGGTTCTTGGGCGGGCTGAGTGCCGGAAGGGCGGGGAGGGGGCAGAATTTGGGGCGGAGCTCCACGCAGAAAGGCGAGGAAGGTATGGCCTGGAGGCGCCTCTGCGGAGGCTGCGAGCATCCTTCCCAGATGGAATAGATAGGTGTGGGGGCGGGTTCAGGATGGCGAGCGAGTTTTGAGGCCCAGCCGGGGCGGCCGCTGAAGACTGCGGGATTTTTCCCTCTGCAGGGGCGGGGTGGGGCAGGGCCAGGGGCGGGGTTTTAAGCCCAGCCTTTGGGTCCATGCCTCTGATTGAGCGGGGTGGGATCTGGGGCGGGGCCGAGGGCGGGACTCCTTGTGCCTTTTGACAGCTGTCTCTCCCACAGCCGCAGCCGAGAGGGGTTGAGAAC